CTGTAACTATAAAATAGTAACGCATGTCTCTCGAGATCTTGTTCTGTGAATGGTGGTCGTTTCATTCCTACGGCATTAATCGCTGAAAAAGTCCGTGAAGGTGTCAGTTTTAAGGGTACAGGGTCCGAAGTGTGTCGGATGACGAGGGTAAAAAGTAGGAAGCCACTATTGATGGTATCTATATGATAACTCTGCTTGAAGCAAGTAGCTGTGAGAGTGATTTCGTTACTTGCATCATAATAGCTTCCTGCGACTAATCCGGCGTCGCAAAATTTATGAGTATAGGTAATATTTTTAAAGCTATGCAAAAAGCCGACGATGTAAAGTTCAGAGAAATGCATTATGACAATAAGAGTAAAAATAGTACTTATACGTATAGTGAGAAAAGGAAAGAGAGCTAGACTTTTCACTCACGTACATCGTATACATCACGCACTACTTATCTACATGTGAGACATAGGTTCGTTCCATACCTAAAGCTTACAGAACGTCAAAATATTTACAAATGAAGCTAAAACAAGAAAAAACGTTAACTTCGGTTGCACCGAAGCTATAATACCCTTCACAGATACAAAGGTTCCTTACAATAACTTCATTCCGATCTAATTTCGTGAAGATACCTCGTCAAATGAAAGAATTTTCCATACAACGACTTGCTTCCGATTGTTTAGTTTGTATGCTATATGCATAGTGGTCCGATATCGGCCGTTCCGACAAATTAGCAGCTTTTTAGTGAGAAAAGTACAGGTGCAAAATTTCAGATCGATATCTTAAAAACTGAGGGACTAGTTTGCATATACACAGACGTACAGACAGACGGACGGACAGATGGCTAAATCAACTCAGCTCATCATGCTGATCATTTATGTATATATTTTATAGGGTCTCCGACGTTTCTTCTTGGTGTTACTACTTTGTGGGAAACTTAATATACCCTGTTTAGAGTATAATATGAAACGCAGTATTCATTTAAACAAGATTGCGTGAACTCTTTAAGCTTGAAAATGTCGAGAAATGAAATCTTGATTCGTGCTTTCAAACGATGTGCTATCCCAGTAGTGGCTGTAGTGAAATTGGGTTAAGTATTTTACCAACATAAAAGTGTTTCTATTGCCTTCGTTTTACGGTAGTCACTGACAAAATTCCATGTTACACATTTTGCTACGACAAGTTTCACATGCCGGTTATGACCCACTTAGCTATCTCACGCATCTTCAATCGGCAGTCTCCCAATTAAAAGGCTGTTGACTGCTGCTACGTTATCCTCAGTTATTCCGGGCACCTGGGCATTAAAAACCCGACGTTCGACCAGTGGTCTCGGTCAGATGTTGGTAGTCGTCAAATGTACTGAGCACTTCATTATGATTTTTATTCCTTGTTATTCGAATTTCGTCCACTACTAATTCCACTGCTTTTTTAAATTATTTAACTTCTCATAGGTACTGGTGAGCCGGCAAATCACTTTCTTCAAAACAATGCACATTAATTACGGTGAAGGTTTTCGGATGATGCTCGACTGGAATATAAAGAAGTCATACATCAAATATTTTGACATCGATGCATCGATGCTGAGGTGCAATGAAAGTGTTAGAATATCATTCGATAAAGTAGAGCATTCGGTAAGCATAGTGTGGATGCATATAACCTTACTTTTTGAAAGAACACTTAATGGAAAACTATAACTCAAACTAACATAAAACAGTATAGAATGGGAAGCCGATATAAAAAAAGTATAGTTAAAAATGTAAAGATCATTTCGAAACCGGGCCCGGGTCCTTTTGAAATTTATCTCATAAGTCCAGATTCTACACGCCCATCTCTATTATGTGTGTATGTACATACTTGTAGTATAGTACAGTCACGAACGAGTAATGGCTTTTCGTAAGAAGTTTTTTGATGTCGAGACTATTTTCAATGTTTTAAATGCCTCAATTTGTATCCGGTTAGCTCCGCGCGTCCAAATTTTTAACCTTTTAAAGATTTCAAATCTTATTCAATGTTAAATCGCTGATTGTAGACTTAAAGTTCGACGTGATTGGTTACAAAAGTTTGAAAGCTTTGCATGTGAAGAATTCCTCTTCTCTGATTCTCCTTGGTACTAAATTTGAATTAAGTTTTCGACATCCTTAAAGTAAATTATGTATCCAAGCACCTCAAATAGACCATATGAACCTACTGAACTTCGCAATTTTCGAAACCATATAAATAAATTATGCATGTACAAATGTGTTTTTATAAATTCTGCTCTTTATAGACTTTTTATCAATTTATTTTCTTCCAACAGCTTCTGGCAAATAACATTTTGCTCGTCAATGTGACGCCGTAACAGATGACGAGACGATTTGTCAGCCATAAAATGTCTGTGGGCCGATAGGTGTGCAACAATGCTATGAACGACGAAGGGAATATCAGATAATCGATTCGGCGAAATAGTAGGCTTACTTTTTATATATTCTGAAAATACATTTTGATTCACTAATTTACCATATATACCCCAACACAGTTTCCTTGACATGTTGGATTGTATCACGCAGCCCGATTACATACCTAGTGATGATCACATATTGCGTTCACGAGTTGTTACGACTAGAATAGTGGAGCACGTTTTCAATACACAGCAAAACAAACTGAAACGTTATAGTAACAAACGGTCGTTACTTCGGTGAATGTGATACCTTTCCGATTGCCTAAAGCATATAAGCAACTACGATAGAGCAAACTAACCATAACTCTCTTCTGTCCTCTTTGCAGAGTAATAGATGTCGGTGGACAACGATCTGAACGACGCAAATGGTTACAGTGTTTTGATGATGTGACAGCTGTCATATTTTTAACTTCGCTCTCGGAATACGATCAGACATTGAGCGAGGCCAAAGGTTTGGTAAGTTTTGAATTGTTTTGCTAGAAGTAAAAAAGTTGTCAATTCAGCTCCGATAACGACTGAGTCGGATTTAGAATTCAAGTAAATACCTTTAACATCAAGTAGCGATGATAAATAGAGAACACGGTAGCCGTTCCCACGACAGTCGGGTCTACGTTACCGGAACGTACCCAAATTTATTCCGGCCAAGGACTGTCAACTCGGCAGAATTCTGCCGCTACAACAACAACAACAGAGAACCGGTAGAAATAGTGTAGGATGCTGATCACCGAAAATGCAGATCAACAGGCGAACTTTCGAGGGTAAAGAATCTGAACTTTGAATATTTAGGGATAACTGGGACTTAAACGGTGTATGTAAACCAAAATTTAGACTACGCCCAAAATTCCGTGCTGGTCCCTTCATATTTCCTGTTTCGGAAGCTCTTAAGCTGGTATGTAGAACCGCTAGAAAGACTGATTTCGATGCTATTGTCTAATACTTTCCTTGACAGCGCCATCTCATTTTCTTCTAACCCTTTGTAACCTGCCTTTGTAACCGTACAACAGGATTCGGGACGTTAGAAGAGTTTCGTTAACTTATCGAATAACGTTTTCAAATTGAGATTCTAGGTTTATAAATTTTATAACAGATAACCTCACATAACCCATGTATATAACCTTAACATGTAGTGCTCTATCAATAGCTCATAGAGTAACTTTTATGTTTTTGTTTCGTATTACAGAACCGCATGGAGGAATCCAAGAATCTCTTTCGTGCCATCTTATCAACGAGCTATTTTCGTAATTCTTCGATTATCCTATTTTTAAATAAACAAGATATACTTGAAGAGAAGATATTGACCTCACACTTAGTGGACTACTATCCGGAGTATGAAGGTATGAATATCTATAAATATATATTTCTTATATGAAACATAATCCTGAAGCACGAATAAAATTATTTAAAAATATAAATGTGATTTGCTTAATACTTAAAAAAAATAATTCCACAAAGTATGTTAACCCTAGTGGAATTCACTAAATATAGTGTTTTTTATTAAATCACCATAGTTCAGTGAATCTAATTATAACAGAATCAGCTGGCTAGACCATTATAACCATATGGCTCTGACATATATTCCAGCTCTGCAAGTATTTTATGCGATACCAGCTAGCGGTCGTAGGGCCAGGGAGATGTTTTTTTTTTCTCTACGATAGAAATCGTTTTAAGTTCTAACGGAATTGAAATCAAACGCATCAGCATTAATACTAAATAAAACCATCCATATACCATAGTTCCGAACTTTTAATGCTCAGTTCATCAGCTCCTAAAATTATGCCATATTAGTCTGACAAAAGATCAAAGCACGACAAAAGTATAGCCTATAATATTTGTCTTCCCATCTCTCATAGATTATGCCCCTGGCACCGTTTAACATTGTTTACATTAAACGAAAACGGATTACACTCACCATATTTCGTATAGACCAGCATTTTTAATTCGTAATAAATAGCTGAAGGTTTAAAAAAGTACAAGAAAAAAAAAACAAATTTATCCTTAACTTCTAAAATATTTACAAACAATACGCGATTCCACTAGAGCTTAACCGTTCCCTCCTTATTACGCTTGCCGATAATCTGAGGATTTCTGACATACATAGGCCTTTAAATAACCACATAAAAAGAGGTCGGGTGTAGTAAAAATTGAAGGCCTATCTAACTTTAATATCGGACGTTAAGTAAAAGGCATTCAATGTTTACACAAGGACATAAAATATATTCCAATCCAAAGTTCATATGAACGTTGATTTCACCCCATATTTTCATATATGTTAGCCGAAAATTTTCAAAACTTCTTTAAAAAAACTATCATTTCAGGTCCTAAACAAAACGCTGACGAAGCAAAATATTTTATACGCCAAATGTTTGAAGCATTGGTGCATAAAGACCGTCCAATTTATACACATTTTACATGCGCCACGGGTAAGTATATAGAGTTGCTATTGCATTTATGGGGTTAGACCTAACCAGAGCCGTTAAAAAAAGGACTAAATTTGTTCATTTATTCAGGGTGTAAAGAATAGGTAATCAAATTTCTCTCTTTCAAAAACAAGTCGGCTACACCGACGTTATAAAACGCTTCACAAGTGCATCTCTTACAACATAAAATTTTAAAAAAGATCTTTGTTATGATTTTTATCGGTCAGTTTGTATGGCAGATACAGAATAGAAGAGAAATGAGGTATGCACCGCGATCTAGAATCTATTGTGCCCTCTCCCAAGTCAAAACGACTCACTTAGCCCCAGCACATTGATGAACTTCAATATATTGCTAGGTACTAATGAAGCAATATGATCGCTATTTGGAAACATGGATGCAAGGGCCTTAGTTCTGCGTCTGCAGACTAATGTGCAGTCTATTAGCAGATGTTCTCGGGTTTCCGAATTCACGTCACAGACCCGGCAGTTTGCACAAGAGACTAAATGCATGTTGTATAGATGCTTCTTGAGTCTGCAATAGCCAGTGTGAACGCGACAAGTAGCCGAAATTTGTTTTTGAACAATATGTTCGGACATTGTCTATGCCAAATTTATGGCAGTTATATTCTATAGTGGCCTGACAAAAGAGCAGCTTCTTAAGGACAAAATTATGTGTGAAATTTCAGACCGATATCTATATCGAGTAGTTTGCGCATATACAAACAGACACACGGACATGGCTAAATCGGCTCGTCATGCTGCTCATTAATATGTATATATATATATATATATACTTAATAGGGTCTCCGACATTCCCTTTCTGGGTGTAATAAACTTCGTGAAAACTTAATATACCCAATTAAGTCTACTAGATAACGTTATTGTGACGCGACAGTTAAAATTTCAAATTTATTTGTGGGATAATCTCCGAGTACTATCGTCGCCGATTTGAAAAATGCAAATTCAAGAGAAACTCGTTTAAAGTTTTACAATCCCAGCGCTTCGATATAACTGGGGATGGTATGCAGAAACCATTTTGTCACTCAATTGAATAATGTTTTAGGACCCAAAAGCGTACTTTAGCCAAAAACCTTTTTTTTTCTAATTCTAGACTGGTCTAATCGCTTAATATGTATGTGCACTACAATTTTTCTATAATTATATTGCAATAGTTTCATAAATATTCCTTTATTCGCAGATACGAAAAACTTTCGCGTCGTATTTCTGGCGGTACAAGATACAATAATGAGGTCTTACCTTGATTCAATTGGCATCAATTAAGCTGCGGTCTTAAGTCTAACCGAGAAAGTTCGTAGAAAAATTTGTAATTTTAAATTTTCTATTATTTATTGTAAGAAATATTATGTTAATTATAGTTATTATATATCGCATTATGTTCGCTTAACAATTACATATTTTAATTTGTATAAAGTAAATAATTATAAATCAGTACTATTTTGAAAATGTGAACAGCACACGATCAGCATATATTTCCTAAAGCCAGCGTAGGTATAATATATATTCGTATCACAAAGTCATTATGCTCTAAACAAACAAAATAGCAGAGATTTTACATAACAAAGACAACAGCAACATATGGAAGCCTGTTTCAAATAAATATTTCTTCTACACTTTTTTCACTTTTTGTTTTTGCGATTAATCGATACTTAAGGCATATTTGTTATTTTCTCGACATTAAAATTAACATATTACAGACTTTATTTATATACATGTATGTTATATTAGGGTGGGTAAAAACACGTATGTTTCTTTTTTTCGCTTCGTACTCTGAAAAATTGGTTGATAGACATCTCTAAGAAAGGCTCTCCAAGTAAGAGCGCTTAAATGTAACGGAAAGGTCCTCCGCCTAATGGTTTTCAATTTTTTCTTTGACTATTTTCAGCCAAATTTGTTTTTTCCTTTTGAATTTTATAACTCATTGAAAAAACAATATTTTAAATCAAAAAAAAAAAAAAAAATAAAAAAAATAAAATAAAAATCAAAAAAAAAAAAAATAAATAAATAAAAAAGGTCTTGTAGGATATTTGGTCTCTTTTTTAACTTTTTTTTTGGGTTTTCCTTTGACAGGCATTGGTGTTTGACGATGAATAGCTCGTAAACGTTTTACTTAATCAAAAAATTTTACAACTCATACAAAGCAGAAAATTTGTCTTGTAGGAAATTTAATACGAGCAAAGCTTTAAGCAATTTGAAATCATTTTTTTCTTTCATTGAGTTATAAAATTCAAAAGAAAAAAACAAATTTGCCTTAAAATAGTCAAACTTCAACCGTTAGTATCTTTTAAACGGTTAGGTTTACGAACAAATCGTAATAGACTTTTTTTGAAGAGCATTAAATTTCCTACCAAATCCTCAAAACGAAATATGTTTTCAAGCAGTTGGAAGTGAGAATTTTCCTAACTGATAGCTATCAACCAATTTTTCAGAGTAGCGAAAACAAAACATACTTTTTGTTTAACCCACCCTAATGTGTGTGTGTATTATAAACATTTCATATTCGACATATTATTGACTTTTCGAAAGCATTCAACATTAAGCTTGATTTGGTACTTATTAATATTTTGGTTATAATCTTAACGCAGGACACAGTTTTCATACGCACAAAAAAGTTTCAGCTCGTCACACAACGCAGTGAAAAACGCATTTGCTTTGAAAAACTTAACTTAAACCGTAGGTTGTTATAAAAAGTGAGTTTTGTTTTCTTCAACATCCGTGCTATTACATGACAACAAAATCGCTTAGATTCCGTTCTGGCTGCACCATATTGGCCGGCATCAGTTTTACCAGTTTATTGAAGAGAAACGCACGACGCCGGCGCAGCTCTTGTTCACGGCTATCATGTGTTCTCTTACTGTTATTCCGTCGACTGTGTGTCATGGAGCCAGCCGAAGACACAGCCGAATCAGAAACACCAGATACAGATGATACGGTTGCATTGCTATCACAAGATTCCATTGAGAGATCCTCAGCCGGATTGGAGCCATCCGATTGCAAACCCGATTTAGTTGAGGCGTCTGCATATAAATAAATAATAGAAAATTAATTAAAATATTCAAAACGAATGGTTTGCTTTTCAATTGCATACCTTCATCTAAATGTTTTTCATCGCTTTCTGCCGCTGTATTTGTGGTGTCGGTTTCCAAATTGTCCACTTGCACACTGCTATCCATTTTCAATGACTTGCCCAAAGGCGGCGTGGCCAATGGTGAACGACCGGTTGTGCTGCTGACATCGTCGGAGCGAAATAACAGGGACGCCAACTTGTGGAACTATAAAGACAAAAAAAAAAATGTTTAGCAAAAGCATTGTTATAAAAAGTTTGTAACTAAAAGTTTATAATTAAAAGTTTGTAGAAAAAGTTGAAAATAAAGAGTTTATTTTTTGTTAAAATTTTTTTTTCGAAAATTGCTCTTTAATTGTTAACCGGCGTTAAAGCATTTATAATTAAAGGCTCTCAATAGTGTTCCGTAATTTTTTGGAAAAAATTGTATTAAAAAAAGATAATTTCGGCTAGTTTTTTAATTGAATTTTATACTAAATTTTTTTTTAAATACTTTTTTAACTATGAAAAAATTGTATGTAAAGAAAAAAAACTCAGCGTTTGTCAAGATCTAGGTGCTAAATTTTTTGTTTGCTAAAAAATTTTTGTATAAAAACTTGTGTTAAAAAGGTTTGTGCAACCGTTTCAAAGTTTCAATATTGATACCACTTTTTTTATTTTGCAAAATGTGTTATGTGTTATTTTTTATGATAAAAAAACTGGGATCATTTTTGTGATTGAATTTGTTTACATTAAAAAATTTTAGTATATTTTTTTTGATTGTAAAAAAAATTTTTGTAAAAAATTGTATGTAAACATTTTTTTTGTTAATATAAAAAACTACTGATAGTTTTTTCATTAAATTTTTTTTACACTAAAATCTTTTGGTATATATTTTTTTAGTTGTGAAAAAAATTTTGTAAAAAATTGTATGTAATTTTTGAATTTGTTTACGTTAAAATCTTTTAGTAAATATTTTTTTTAATTGTGCAAAAATTCGGTGTTTAAAAACAATTCATGAAAAAAATATGTTTGAAAACTTAGAAAACATTTTTCTGTGAAAGATTTTAATTGTGAAAACATTGGAAAAATATTCGGTGTTTCAAAAAACTGCGTAAAAAATTATGCTAAAAAAAATGTGTCATGGTCGAGGTCTAAAAAAGACCAAAAATGGTTCGAAATATTTTTGTTAATCACTTTATATCAAATATTTTTGATAAAAATTAATTTTTTTTTTACTTTTTTTCTTTTTAAATTGTTAAAAAAATCGGTGTTAAAATGTTTGGCTTATGTTAAAAAAATTGTATAAAAAAAACATCGAAAGATTTTCAAAATATTAAAAATACACGGCTAAAAATGATGTGTCAAAAATAAAAATTTTGTGTAAAAAAATATGTTTGTGTCAAAGAAAAATGTTAGTGTAAAACATGATTCAATTATATAAGATTGTGCCCATGAACCATGGTGCAAAGCAATTAATCTTTTACATTTTTTTTGTGACAATTTTTTTAGTTTTCAAAGTTTTGTGTTTTGGAAAAAAAATTCTAAAAAATATTATACTTACATTATGTAATTGCTCTGGATTTGAGTGATCAATAACTTGCGCAACGTGATGACGTAAATATTGCATTGCATTCAGCGGATCGGTGCGTGCCATTTCTTCGTAGTGCAATTTTCGCACGAGATAACGACAATGCATCAATATCTCACAGCGCTTAGGCCTTAAAACAATAACAAACACCACATTTTTTTATTAACACATTTAACAAATTATAATTATTGTTGTAATACTTTTCCAGCTCCAGTATCCAAAAGTCATCAAGACGCATTTGCGGTCGCGACGACTTGCCAGGGTTTCCGCCAAACAGATAGTGCGACTGCAAAATACATACAAGTTATAATAAATTCCAATAAATATAACACACTACCCACCTTTGCCACATCGTCGTACACCAGCTGATGCGCATAACGTGGACACGGCTCGAGTAGATCATGTTTCTCTGTGGCATTAGACGCTTCGGCATTGTGGCGACAAGTGTAAATACGTGACCACATATAATGTTTAAGAGAATATACCCAAAATGAGTTGGAAGCATCAATATGTTGAATATCACGACGATCTTTCAGTTTGCTCAAGCTGGAGAAAATATAGATTTCATCGCGATCACAATCGATTGTAGCGCGCAGCGTATAGCCGGGCGACGGCTCATTCTTCGTGTCGCTTGCGGTATTGTGACTGCAGACGCTGCTGCCGCCGGCGCCACCGCAGCTATTATTGTCTTTATTCAGCACTGATATGGACTGTGTGTCCACGTCATAGGTGATAAAATCATCGATGTCTTCTTTGCCCCGCTGACCGCCATAAATATACAGTTTGCGATGTTTCTATGGACAAAAAAAAAATAATATTTAAAATAAAAACTTTTCATAAAAAACAGCACTATTTTTTTACCGTGTGAAATACCATACAATGCGTGATGCGCGACTTTATTGAAAGTACGTCAGCTTGCGATGCACTCGGATGATGGCAATCGACGAGTATCTGCGTCCACGTATTGGTGGCAATGTGATAGGAGAATAGACCCGAGTATTCTGGTTCATTTGACGTGCTGTTCGAGACACTGCGTGGTGTGAGTATTTTTCCACCAAACACATAAATGTTACGCTTCTCACTATCTATACACATTTGATGATCGTAGACGAGATGTGGACCACCGACTTGGCTTGTATCGTCACAGATTTGCAGCCATGTGCGCGCCCGCGTATCATATAGAAAGAAGTCGCTCTGTAAATTAGTTTAGTTAGCTTAACTTTGCACTATGATTATTATAATTAACTAACTTTAATATAGTCTGTGGTGCGTATTGAGTTATCTAAATAACGGCCTAACATAAAAATGTTTTCGCTAACCGAATCGTAGACCATTTTGTGGCATGAACGCGGCGTTGGTCCATTAAAGAGCTCAGTTTGTTCGAAAAGTAACGTCCAACTGTTAGTTTTTATATCAAATACCCACAAATCGCTGAGGTCGCGATAGCCATCCCAACCGCCATACAAGTAGACCAAGCGTTTTTTAGTATCTACTACCAATTGATGGCCGCCACGATTGCCTTGAAAGAAACATATAATTTTGTATTCATTGTAAATATTCGAAATTGTATACACCAATGGCAACTAACCTGGTTGGGTAGTGCTTTGTGTTAGTTGCATGCGCCAAGTATGCTTATAATCTTGACGATTAAGATACAGGTCCATGAGACCCTCACCAACACATTTAGTAATCAATTTTTCGGCATTTTCGAAGTCACCCTTTACAACCAAACATTTGTGTAGTTCACTTATAAGCGGATTTTCCAGCTGCACTTGAGTTTGCTCCTGTAAAGCTTTGAAAGCAGCATCGTAACCTTGCTGACGAAAGTGTTTTAGGCACAATTTAACGATTTCAACTTCGCGTAGCTTTGAAAAGATTTGCACAAATTACCACATTTATTGCCCTTTAACAATTTAATATCTACCATATTGTAGTTCCTCAAGCTGACACTGGTATACATTGGATCATCCTGCCCATGCAATTCGATATACCAAATACTGAAATTGAAAGTGGGGCCCCATGAAAGTAGTGGCACTATTTTCACAAATAAAATGGGTAGTTGCTCCGAACCGTCCTCGGTTTTGCAACGTAAGTTGAATACTTCGGGCACATTATCATTTCTAAGACCCCTTTAAAAAGTAATCGATAATATAGGTATAAATAAAAAGTTATGACTAATGGTATATAAAATATTTTTGTTTACTTACCCTTCTAAAAGCAGCACCATGCGCTCCTCATCGAGTCCGCCGAAAATACGAAATTTTTTAATATTACACACATGTGACTTTTCAAATTTGCCGAACTTTATCTTTTTAACAATGGCAGGACGCTTTAGCTTTAAAGTAAGAAATTGTGGTGGATTGTTTGTGTGTGCAGACCAGCGTGAAGATTGGTCACTAGGGCAATCTACCAGTATATTTCTAAAAATAAAAACAATAATAAATAATATTGTGAAACAAAGAAATCTTACAAAAAATATATATTCTCATTATCACCGACTGCGCAGTTGGCAGTGGAAGCGAATCATATATGTAAACACACTTACATACATACATATGCAAAGTTCAAAAACAGAGGTAATATCGCGCCCAAATGCAATCTAATCACGTAGCCGTGTTTGTGTGTATAAGCACATATTCAAATTATTCTGTCGCTTGTTGTTTTGCTTTACTTTTTTTCTTACGCTAGTATTCTTCAAATTTAAGCAAACTGTATAAATATCTAGCATAAAGTGCACAGAGCAGCAGTATTATGCAAATTGTTCCCGCTAGCCCTTAGGTAAGCTAATTTACAACAAAAGCGTTTTTTTTTTGCATTTACATATGTTTACCATACTTACTCTGGAAAATAGTTGGTGGAAAAACTGGAGTAACGGTGGATTTCATAGGTAAGTTTCTCAACCTCGGCAAGTGGAGTTACAGCACCAACATCGCTTTTAGAATCCTTCGAATTTATTGTTTTATTGCCTGCCGACGTTGTTGTTGATGTGCTGTTGTCCCCAACGTCTCCGCTGTTAACTGCAGATATATGTTCCATTTTATGTGATATCAGTAGATAGAGAACAGGTTGTCTGTACAAAAAAACTTGCACAATTGTTGTGAAGACCAGTTAATAATTACTTCCTGGCAGTATCCAAGCTGGTTGGCTTCTCTTCGAACCCGACTTTTTTATGCACTATGCTTTTATTCGATGTTTTACTCTGTTTAATTGTAAAATTATGTTTTAACGGTTTGACTAAGAACCGAAGTTTTAGTTTGTGAGCTGTGCAAATTGATTGCACGAAGACGTATTGTTTGTCTACAAACTATATGCTTTTAACTTTTTTCTTTCGTCTATTTTATATGCCAAACAGGTGATTATTTGCACTACCTGAAAACACAGAGTTGCCAAGTTTAATTACTTGCACTCCTTATAAACACAAAGTTGCATTGCGTTTACTTTCTTTAAGGTAGTCTTACACAATACACTCGTGTTTGCGATGAGTAGGCATTCCGTTCGCCATACACGGTATACAACCTACATACATTCATATTCATTTTGCGAAGCGTTCTTGAATGGGTAAACATGTAAAACGATTCAGCGCCCAATTTAATTGCAGTTCGTGTAGCTTTATAAGAGCAGCAAGTTAATTTATTGTTAGTAACACTTACTGTTTTCTTTAGAATTCTACTCTAATTTTGTCACAACTCAGTCACCGTACACTTATTTGCACATCGATCACGAAATATGTAAAATATTCCCAAACATGGATTTGTACTTGGTTTATTGAACTTCAACACAAATCTATCGTAAACCCATGTACGTCCTGTCGTATGAGCGCTTTTATCTAACATTTCGTGGCAAAAAATTGTATAAAATATGCAAACAATATAAAAACATTTTAAATATAAAATAATACCAAATTAGGTCTTTTATGTGTTCATCATATTGCTAACGTTAATTTTTAATAAAGATATTTTATTGTCAAAATCCCTAAAAGGGCTATGTGGAAAGCGTTGGCAATACTTATGTGTGTGTATAACTTCATATCGAACGAAGCAGCAACGGAATAAGCGAAAGCAAAATTTCTGAATTTATAAATGGAAAAAGTCTAGGCCTTTTGGCAAATAAAAGTGAAAATATATTAACAAACACAAAATTTCTGTAAATCCGTTGTTAAATTTATAATAGAAAGTGCAAAAAGGTCTCGCCCAAAAAGTTCACTGCGTAAAATAACTAAAAATTGCGATACAAGAAAGTGTGAAAAAATAGACGTGAGAAGCAGAAAATAACCAACAACCCAGGGTGTAAAAGTGAAAATATACATTTCCAATTGGAAACATTTGTGATTTATAAATCTCGGCATATCTTTTGGAAAGCATACTAATAACAGCGTAAAAAATGGTAAAATTAAAAAATTTAAAAAAATGTCCAAGTAATTGACTAGTTTTAATTTTGCTCAAATAAGTACATACTAAAGAATAGGGTTATCGAAGGGTGAATTGAAGTTTTTCTTGTCTTCTTTCGGGGACTTGTATATATTTTTATGTTATTCTCTATTTTTTTGCCAAGAAATTATTTAACTTTTAAGATTTGTTTCTAAATCATCTTGTATTAAGATTCTTAATTACAGAGCGTTACCAATTTAGTCTATCATCAGCGCCAGGGTTTTGCAAGGCCAATGGGGCAAAAGTTGTATGCTACCTGCCAAGCAATATAAAGCCACAGCAGCCACCTGCAGAGCGCAAGTACAAACATAAACACACGTACATGTGTTTGTTTATAAGGCTAAAAAAGAACTGTGGACACTGGGGGTTAATGCCTTCTGTTTAACAATTGTCCCAATTTCAAAAACTTTTTTCGCATTTTAATTTTATAGTACTTTCATTGCTGTAATATTTACTTCATTGCTCTGTTTTTGTTTTTTTTTTTTGTTCGCTGGATGAGGTTACAGTCCTTGATGATATCAGCAAAAATAAAAAAATAAAATTTTTGCTCAGTGTCAGTTGTCAGTTTTTATTTCTTATATTTATCCTTTGGAATAGTTTTCTTGATATATAAATTTTTGTTTTACCAAATAATTTTCGATTCGATGGTTTATTTAATTACATTTTCCTATTTAATAATAAATAATTAAACATTGGTTTTATTTCTAGGGTAATGAAACTTCTTTACCCATGGAGATGTGCTCTAACTGTAAGTATCTACACTTTTTTTTAAATATTTTTTTAATTTTACGCAAATGTTTTTGCTTAGCTATGTTATAGTCGAACAGACAGAAATTAAGAAACGTTATTAAAAGTAAAAACCATAACTATTTGGAAAACTAATAACTAATTTTTTTTTTGTTATTTTTTTTTACTAATTTAGTTGATGCCGATGAGATCAGACGTTTAGGCAAACGTTTCCGCAAACTCGATTTAGATAATTCGGGGGCACTGAGCGTAGATGAATTCATGTCTTTACCGGAATTGCAACAAAATCCTTTGGTGCAGCGCGTCATCGATATTTTTGATGCGGACGGTAATGGCGAAGTCGACTTCAAGGAGTTCATACAAGGCGTATCACAGTTTAGTGTTAAAGGCGACAAACTATCAAAATTGCGTTTCGCTTTTCGTATCTACGACATGGATAATGATGGTTACATATCGAATGGTGAACTTTTTCAAGTAAGATATACTTTTTATGTGCGTTAGTACCGTGTATTAAAAGTGTTCAACATATTTAACTATATGTTTTATTGCTTTAAATAATGTAAATTATTTTTTTACTTGGTAGGTGTTAAAAATGATGGTGGGCAATAATCTGAAAGACACACAATTACAGCAAATTGTTGATAAAACTATTTGCTTTGCCGACAAAGATGAGGATGGTAAAATCTCCTTCGACGAGTTTTGCTCCGTGGTCGGTAACACTGATATACACAAAAAAATGGTTGTTGACGTTTAAGGTCGCTTTCTGAGAACACTATTAATGCTACACTTTATATAATACCAATATATTTTATATGAATTTAAACATTTGTACTTTGGAAACTATTTTAAATTGTTCTTATTATTTATTTTGATAAATCTCGAAATAATTGTACACACATTTTTTAAACATACTAGTATTTTTTTTAAATAGTTATGTTGAATATCTTTTCAAAGTTGCTTAAAGAATATTAACGTGTTTATATAAAATGTTTATGCCAAACATAAGGTTTGTTAACAACAAACAAAAACTGTTAATAAATATTGCAATGAAGGCATTGAAAAGAGCACCATATGCATATATATAGAGTATAATTTTAACTAAATTTCATAAACTAAAACAAATCATAGTGAATACAATAAATAAAAGCATTACAAACTTCTGAAAAAAAAATTAAACACGAAAATTCGACTTGTTAAGTTATAAACTAAACTGAGCATAATTACTTATTGCTAATTAGTAAAATTCCATAATTGAAAAAGGAAAGGTTCAAAGTCATAACCAAGAAAATATGCCAGAATCATCACCATATTGTAACAAATAACAAGCAAGCACACATACTTACATACATGTATATGCATATAAAGCCAAAAAATCTAAATTGTATATTATGTTGCACCTAGAGCAATTAAAGCTATAATGTTTCTAAGAAAATGTGCAATATCATACATTAGTATTTTATTAGAAAAATTTGAATGAACCGTTATAATTATGAAAATCATATAAATCTCAACTTGTAATTCAGTTATATTTTGAAGTTGTTTTCGAACCTTTTTTCAGGCTCATTTTTCAATATATATATATTTTTTACAAACTAGCTAGTCAAATATATTTCTGTTAATAAAAAAATTGAGAATCATATTTATTGCAGATTCATATAGGTCAAAAATCACACATCACATGCCACTCAAAAGATTGGAGTAATCAATTTTTTTTTTAATTCTATTAATTTTACGTTACTTTTATTCTTTAAATAAACAATAAAATCTAGATTTGTTCAACAATTTATTTTTGTGCCATGCTAACATTTGCAAATTAGTTATATATATATATATATACATTTCATGAATTTGTGTCAAACCTCGCACGGTATAAAGAAAGCTGCAGTTAACTGAGCAAAAGTATATTTCATTTCAAAATATTGCTATACCTTTTCTTTAAATAAATTCTTTCAGTGCTGTTATTTTTCCATATTATATATTATATTATATTATTTTTATTCATCGTTTTAATTTAATATAATATAATATATTATTTTTTATTGAATTTAATTTTTTTTTTATAAAATTTGTTTTAATTTATATATTTTAAATCATTTTCAATACAACCAAATATTACATAATTTTGAAAACTACCTTATGTTTTAACTAATTATACCTTGGTGTGCTTTTAATATGTGCAAAAATATTGTTTTGTTAACTAAATATATTTGTAATCTAATTACTTTTCTTTTCAAATGGTTAAAACTTTAAACAATAAAAAATTTCAAAGCAAAGTGGAAAAGTGTGCTTAAGTACATGGCGAAGTTACGCATTAAGCGTTTAAAAACGAAAATAACACAATCTCTTGCAATATTATATGAATATTATATAAAGAAAAAAAAAAAGAAATTAAAAGCAAATAAAATACTTACTGAACATCCTTTTAGCTTTTGTTAAGTACATACATACTTTGTAGCGAATATATAATTAATATAAGCGCTAAAATGGCAAATTGCAAAAAGTCTTTTATGGAGTTTAATAGCGAAAACTTGTAAGAAATGTAATTGCCATAATTTTTTCTTAATGCAAATGGAATTAGATAAAGATATAATAAATTGTAGCAAAATAAACAAATTTCTAAAACTAAGATATTATCAAGAAAAATGTGAAATTTTCAAAACCTACATGTTTTTAACATACATACATATATATCATTCAGCGCCATATGAAGAGTATGACAGATCCGTTATTTATTTATTTATTTTTTAACTTGGTTTATCGGTTTATAAAAATATAATGTTATGTTTAATACGTTTTTATATGCGAAGCTTACTTGTTTCACGTGAACTTTGCATCTGTCGTTTAAATAAAGGCAATACTACTTAAATGAGTTTCAACACATTTTTTAGTATATTAAGAAAAAATGTATTTATTTCGTTTTACAAAACTATTTCTGCCTTAACATCATGAATCTGAAAATCAAACAATAAAATTTCACACCAATCTTAATGCTAATTGCAACCTTTTAAGTGCGAGTGATGGGTATAAACAAATATTAAAAGCAAAAAGAAAAAATTAATTAATTAAAAACAAAAAACATAACCTACGTATAAAATAAACTTAAAACTGAATTATGCACATTGTAAAAGTACACATGATAATCTTTTTCTAATGTACGTGGAAAAAGCACTTTAACTATTAATTATTAAACAAAACAAACAGAAAAACAACATAATAAAATAATTGAATTGAAAATTTAGTATTTAAGTAAATCCCAAAAGTCATTGAAGCAGGTGGTTGTAATGCAACGCATTGGCATATATTCGTGGTCAAAGTTTTGGCGACTCTGGATGCTGTTTTTGTTATAATTACTGTTTTTTTTACCGTGAATATGTGCTAAACATTAGTACGTGGAAAACAACGGGAAAGAAAACGGTGAAATATATAAGTGTACTATGCCTCAACACCCAGTAGTAAATAACGACGCGTTTCATAATATGTTTGCATTTTTTTTTAAATAACAAGTTTGAACTCCCTCTTTAATATACTCTCCACCCACGTATGTACCTTCTACAACGCACTCTGTCTTTTTCACATTATCTTTTTCTAGTTTTCTCTTACTACCTCTCTTTCATACACCCTCTACTTAAAACCTTTAACTATTCCTCCCTAGCACATGCCAAAATAAAATAAAAATTATAAATTTTGACATTTTTGCACTTTGCAATTTTACAAGTTAACTTAAACTTTATTAAAAATAATTATAAATATAAGTATATACATACATATGTATGACAACGGTATATAGAGTGCAACAAAATTGAGAAGGACAAAGAAAGTCATGACTTTGTATTGTCTTAACAGAACATTAAATAAAATATACGGATATGCTATATACATATTATGGTAAAGTGTATAATTGAATGGCAATTATTGATACAAGCATACATATAGGTATATACAGTTGCGGTCAAAATCTCAGTAGTGCTGCTCACTCTTTATATTTATGTGATCACACTTTTAGGGTGTCCATTATTTACCAAATTTATTATTGTTTTGCAAACACCCCTGAAGTTTCAGTTTTTGCCCTAAAAAAGGTTTCTACATAAACAAACTCTTTATTTTCTATTTAAACCGTGTCTAAAATCATTTTTCCTATATATTTTGTATGTCAGTTTTTGATATTTTGCAATTAAGTTTTTGTCGCCAAACCAAATATATCTACAGCTATGAAAAAGTGATATTCTAATACAAAATTATCCGCTCTACAAAAAAGATCTGAAGGATTTTGTTTGCATAAAGATTCATTTAAAAGTTGTATACAGTTAAGGTAATGCATCAAATGTACTGTGTTTGTATAGTACACCATAACGTATAGGCAACACAAAATAAATAAATAGCTTGTATGAATGCTCAACAATCTACTTGGAAAATAACGGAACCCTAATATACGTATGTATGAATAAAGGTTTTAATATTTTCGTGTATAACCGATGAAAAGGTAACAAAAAAAAAAAAAAAGAATGTGCCTTAAAGCTATTAGAGCTATCTAAGATATGAAGTCAAGGGTGAATACAGTTTCCTATATAGAGATAAAAGCACAGTTTTGGTATAGTTGGGTCTACAATGTAGACTCTACATAAACGAAATGTATCCGGATTTATGTCCCACCAAGAAATGTTAGCTTGCCAGCATTCCGAAAAACTATTTTGGAAATGAGTTCTTCCACTACTACAATAACAGCACTTATAAATTAAAAGGTAGGTAAATATTTTGAAGTTACTTAAAGGAATCGGACTGTAGTGTTTAACACATATGTTTAAAAAAATGTATAAATAATACTTGTTTTATATACAAACTTTTTTTAGTAAAGGAATTTAACAAAAATATACGCAGAAACATTTAAAGGGAAGGTTTTTTGAAAATTTCTTATAAGGTTTCTATTTCTAGGTTATTATTTCTCGCGGTGTACACAGCTGATAATAGGTGATTAATCAGCATTTATCGATACATTTCTATGAATATTTTGTTTACTATTGGTAAGGGTTGAAGGGTTTCAAATGTTTTGGAACTAATTCCTTTATTTCACAACTATTAAATGAACGCGCCGAAATGAGCGAAGCAAAGGAAGATGCAGGTGTTTTCTCAGTGCGCCTGGTCATAGCGGATTTCTACATGGAAAAGCCAATATTCGGCTTCGATCCATGCTATTCGGAGTTTCGCGGCAAGGAAATTAAAAGGGTCAGTTATATTGAACATTTTTAATTTATTTCCTTAAAATTGTATTATTTGTGAAATTCATGATTTCCAGGTGCCAATAATTAGAATTTTTGGTTCTAGCGCTGATGGACGCAAAACGTGCATGCATGTCCACGGTGTTTTTCCATATTTCTATATACCTTACGAAGCAAAGGAGTTCGAATCCTTGAATAAAGCAATTTACCAAATTACGAGTAATGTTGACAAAGCAATTAATATTTCATTGGGACAGGCGTGTTCTGGTGCGATTCATGTATTCAAAGTGCAGCTGGTCAAGGGCATGTATGCTTAAAAACAGTCATTGTTAAGGGACTTTACAATTAATGTTTAAAATTACCTTTTAGTCCATTCTATGGATACCATCGCGGTGAACATCAGTTTCTTAAAATCTACATGTTTAATCCACGATTTGTGAGACGTGCGGCAAATTTGTTACAAAGTGGCGCGATTATGAATACAAATTTTCACCCTTATGAATCACATGTACCCTATATTCTCCAGTTTATGATAGATTATAATTTATATGGCATGAGTTTTGTTCATATACCGCTTGATGTAGTGAAATTTCGCCAAGCCGGTGATGAGCATAACCTCAGAGGTAAGTTTTTTTACACAATACACTTACGAGCGGATATTTATATGATTCTTTGTACCAATAGAGTTCCACATTCCTGCGCTGAAGCAAGCACAGTTTCTTAATCCAACAGTGGCGAAAAAACAGTCAACTTGTGTATTTGAAGTGGATATCGGGTCAAATTTTATACTAAACCGTTTTCAACTCGCGTTGCGCAGTAATAACAGCAAAACACATTCGAATCCAGGTATCGAAGCCATTTGGAATGATGAACGTTTGCGTAGACAGAAGATGGCTGAAAGATCTGATGTTGACAAGGTAATGTAATTTGGGCATGTCTTTCGATTAAAGATTTGTGAAAGTCAATTTCTTGGTAATTGTTAATTTAGGTGCCTGATCTGGAGTTGCCGCCCACTCAGGAGCGTTACAATGTGCAACCAACAGAAAGCGATATTTTCCATCGGACCGTCTTGCAAAGCAAATTAATGGCATTAGAATTGTCTGTAACGGGAAATGTCAGTCAAGCTGATCAATCCACGAATTTGACGTTACAAACAAGTAATGCTAATTTTAGTTTAGTAATTTCTGGTGACAAAGAACAGGTACATTAAAGTTATATTTGTTCAAATGGTAGTAATGATCTAAAATTAACTTAAAATTTGTTGCGTTCAGAAACACACTTTCAATCTTCGCAAAATTATTGGTAATGCCATCTATCCAGAGGAATGTACACCTGACGAAAATTTAGTCGATGCCTCCTTCATTGAGAATCACGTCTCGCAAAATGGATTTCTACTAAGTAGTTCAGTAATACAATCCACAGCAACACCGCCTATTAACACGGAGACTGCTGATCGTAGGGATAACATTTTTTTGGATGACACTGTCGTTGATGAAGAATTATTTTCGAATTTCAAGGCCGACACGCCTAAACAATCTGATACTAGCCGTAAGTGAGAATTTATAAAAAACGCTCTGCTAACTGCAAGCATTGTCTTTTATCTCATTTAGTGGGTGCAGAAGATTTAGAATTGCTGGATATTCTACAACAGCTGGAAGAGCATGAGGAAGATGAAAATCAAATCGATTTAGACAGCACGCTTGCGCCACTAACACAAACGCACAAAAAATGTAAGAAATAATTATGATAAGGTATATAAAAAATACTAAATATTTACTAACAATTATAACAGTTGATCCTTCGCCAGAATTGCTGGACAAGCAAGTAATAGCGGCAGCTATGAGTCAACCATTGCCTGAATGCGACACCGATTCCGATACCAGTGAAAATGGCAATCTTCATGATTACTCCATAATTTTAGAGGATATGGATGAATTGATCTTAAAATTTACCCCCAGTCAACCAACCGAAGAAACTGATAATCAAACAAGTCTGCCACAAATGGATGGTTCAGACGATTTATTGCCCAAGACACCAGTTAAAGGCGCAAGTAGTGCGAAAACAGGCAACAACCGAAATGTATTAACTTCACCACGAACGCCAAGGATCACTAACGGACCACATTTGTCACCGAAACGATCACCAAGAACCCCAAAGTCTAGTGCGAGTAAAAAGTATGCGCCATTACCGTTAACAATCACTTGTAAGAAACAAGAAAGTAAGTTGAAGTGCAAAGTTTCAAGAATAGTTGTAAAATAAAAAAACCGTTTTAGGAAATGTCGCAAAAGAAGTTCAAACAACTCCAGCCCGACATACAGTTTTAAGAAATTTAGATCTCGGCTCTTGTGATACTAAGAGGTTGGTCTTCCTCAGCTTTTTGATATTCATTTTAAATTAATTTCTAACTTTTAAATGTTCAGCACCAAAATGACCTTAAGCAAAAAACTGGCTTTAACTGCTTTGCGGCGAAAAAGTGTGGACTGGAGTCCAAGCTCAATGCAGGAACATATTACAGCAAGCAAAGAGCCAAGTGATGAGAGAAGCGTAAAACGGTGAATATTAAAAAATTCTCAATCTTCAAAAGAAGACTTAAGGGTGTATTCTGGTCTAGACGCCTAAATTTTAAGCATTTTTTAAACTAACATTTTTACAACAAAAACATTTTTACTATCTATTTTTTTTATATGATTTTTAGTGACATTTAAAAAATAGTAGTGATCTAAAACAAACACATTTAAAAAAATTCTTCATTAGTAAAGATGTGGACATCGGATTGAACTTTTGCCAAAGAAAAAAATTCACAAACCAGCGTTGAACTAAAAAAAAAAATGTTTTTATTTCCTTATTTTTTGACCTAGAATTTTTTAAAAATATTAAAAGTTCAAATTTTCAAAAATCCGGGGCAGGCACGATATAGAGATGTTTAATAAAGATTTCAAAGAAATCAGTTAAGTAGAACTTGAGATATCATGTCAACCACCTCAAAAAAAGTAGTTTCGAGAAAAATGCGTTTAAAGTTTCGTCGTCCACTAAACCCGTTCAGTTGCCAAGAGACTAAAACGGCTATAACGGAATAATTCGAATTTTAAATAATCCTTTTAGGGATGTTTTCGAAGGTCTAAACTTTTAAAATCGATTTTTTCAAATTTCTAGACCCGAATACCCCCTTAAGATAATGTTAGAGCGAATTCAGTTTCAACAATAGTAAAACATGAAGTTTGAATTTGATTGTCAGATAAGATTGATCTGCTTACAATATACACTTATTCCATTGAAATTATTCATGTTTTTTTTTGTTTTAACTTCAGTACACCAATTCGCCGCTCTCGAAGAACTATGGACTTGGACAGAACACACATTACATGCGAGCTAACGCCACGTAGAAAAAGTGAGCGAATTTTAAAAGTATACAGCATTGAAGAAGAAGAGAAACTGGTAAACGCGCCGGAAGGAACTCGGAAATATCGGTCTGTTGTATCTCCATTGAAAGTACAGAAGCAAAATAAAACCAAAGAGACATTATCAGATGCAAGTAAAAAAAGATGTCGGAACAAGTTGTCGAAATTTGCCCAAACAAAAAACCAAACGGAAGAGGTTTCGAGTAAAGAACAACAAAAGAAAAGCCCGGTACCACGTCAGCATCAGACACGAAAGTGTGTAGTGAGAATTAGTAAAAGTCTAAAACAAAAAGCTTTAGATAATTCGAGTACTAATACTCCTGAACCATCAAATGTGATAACCCATAATAATAATAATGAAATCGCCGATGATCGACAGCTGGATTTAAGCAAGAGCACAATTTATACGAGCCCTCAACTTGATTTGAGCGAAGATAAAGAAAAGCGTCTACCAAATAATATAAGTCCGCAACTCAACGCAAGTGATAGCGATGAGATTGCAGCTTCAGACACGGAAGACGCGCCCACACCTATTAGCGCTAAACGTTTACGACGCAGCTTTCACCTGATACAACATAGAAGGATGCAGAAAAATGATGTTTCGAATAAATACATACACGAGACCACAAAAAGTGCCGATCACACCACGAAATCGTCGATCTCATCAACAGAAGCGTTTAAAATAGATACTGATGATGGTGTGGATATAGAAGATCCGCATATTCAAAGTTTCTATGATATATCATTTACCGACGATCTTAGTAGTCCACCAAATTTCAAAGAGATTTCAAGTCCAACTAAAGTGAATCTAGTAAAAGATGCCTCTTCTATTCCACTAATTAGTTATGAGTCTAATAATTCAATTCAATGCTGCCAACTACTTGAAAAAGTTCAAAACACAACCTCAAAGTCGAACTCAAGCACAATTTTGATTAATATCGAGCCTCTCTTAACAGAATCTGCATCGAATTCTGCAAAGCAATTAGTGCAGTTAACACCACTTAATTTGCCGCCAAGTTATGAAGAGGTATTGACGAGCTGTGTGAAGCTTGACATACCTGAATATGAATTTCAAAAGCCCTTCTATGGCAATCCCGATGACATAACGCGACTGAAGGAAGTCGGGCACATCGCGTTGCATATTCCAGGTAATTATTTATTTTATATTTTTAATTTTTATTTATTACTTTTGTTGTTCCAACATCAGGAAACACGCTAAACGACTGCGAAGAATTCAAAAGTGTTCTTGGTGATGAGCTAAAGGGTCTTACCGAGTGGCGTCGTCAGCAAATGCTTGCTATTAGTGGTCCTTCAGCACTCACCACACACTGCTCTCACCGAAATACTCAACGAATACGTGAATACTTTGCCGAAGCGAAGCGTGTAACGATCACACCTCAAATATGCCCGCCCACACGTAAAGAAGCTAAATTGTGGTTAAAAGCGCGCGATATGTTGGCCAAAAGCGAAACATGTGCTCAAAATAAAGTAACATTGGACGAAAGTCCCATAAAAGTGCGACGTCAAAAGACCACAATGATATTAAACGATGGTGGCGGAGGCTGTTATAACGATGAGGACGTGCTAAACAATACAAATTGCATCACATTAACACCGCCAACGCCGTTAGCGAATACGCAAAGATCCTCAAATGCAGCAAACACGACTGAAGAAGCGACAGCTAAGCCAAATGCGAATGTGAAATTGAAATTGCGCACGAAGCGCGCAAAGCTTTCTTTGAATAAGAAGCTAATAGCCTGTGCTAGTCCAGAAATGAGTGTGCTCTCGGCAAGTGACAGTTTGCAGTTATCACAAATTGCGCAAAGCACCGAAACTTTGAGCAGCGAGCAAGTTGTGGCCTCCAACGACACCACCATATCCAATGAAACCGTTTTAAATGCACTGAAACGAAATTCATTTCTTAAAGATTTGCAATCAAAAGCCGCACCATCGCCACATGAGCTCAGTTTTGGTTTGAGTAGCGCTTCGTTGGACAACACCTTTGGTTTCAAAGTGAATTTGGAAAATTTGCAGCAAGCCAAATCGGATGTGGAGGTAATATTTTCAATTAAAGATATTGTTATTTATATACATATATATATATATATATATATATATATAAATGGAAAGAGAGTTTTGTCCGCTCAGGGCATGTAATTGGCAGTGTATTTTTTGTAAGAAGGAATTCTCCAACAGATGAAGTTTTGGGGTGATACTTCTCCGGCATATGAAAATTCGATTATACAAGCACTTTGGAAATGTGGAATAAAACGAAAAAGTACATGTCCCGAATGGGTATGGTCAGTGATTTGAGCATTTTTTGCTTTTTAGACCCCTCAACGCCTTCAAAATCAGTGGACCGTAGAATAAATAATAGCTCTTGAAATAAACGAACCACTAAATTCCTTTAGACAAATTACAAAAAATTATAATAAGGTTTCACCATAAGGGAGACTCCACGTCCAAAATTCAGGTAAGACAACATTAGCAGAGTCCAATTCCAGAAAGATGCTTAAAAGTGAGCTTGTTGCTTTTTGCCGACCAAGTTGGATTTCACAACTTTCAAAGCGGTCGTCACATGAAGTGCTGAGCGTGTGGAAAAACGTTCAAGCTAACTGAAGTTTATTTGTGAATTATTCGCGAGCACAATAAGTCATTTGGTTAGCTTAAAGACGACCAAAATCAACTACAATATATTTCTTACTGTTAAACAAAAAAATCAATGAATTAAAATTTTGATTACATATTTTTATACCTGTTTCATATTATATATTTTATGATGCAGAAGAGTACTGCTAAATGTCCACAATTTTCCAGTGCAATTATTTAACAACTATAATACTGGAGTTATTCGTGCCGACGCGTGGTAATTTGCTTCCCGATCCTGTACACGATGAAGTGCGTTGTCTCTTTTACGCCATTGAGCATCGTTCGCCAGCAACGCAAACCAAAGGCGCCACACTCCTACCGCAAAATGATTGTGGCTGCATCATTGTTAAGGATATCGAAAGCGAAAATGCTGGGCAAGACCATCACATGTACGGCACGGGCGGCAATAATGATGTAACGATGCGTTTCGTGAATACCGAAATCGAGGCATTCGAAGCGCTTGTAGAGTTGAGTATGCGCTGGGATCCGGATATCTATGGCGGTTACGAAATCGAGACGGCATCTTGGGGTTATGTTTTGGAACGTGGCAAGCATCTCGGTTTCAATATAGCGCCCCTGCTATCACGCGTGCCGACACAGAAAGTACGCGAATTTGTGGACGAAGATCGTGAGCATTTTACCGATTTGGATATCGAGGTGAGTGCGAATGTAATGTTTAAATGCTTAAGATGGTATATCTGCTCGTTCATTGTAGTTGAAATTGTGCGGTCGCATACTCTTGGATGTGTGGCGTTTAATGCGTTCGGAAATCGCGCTCACCTCATACACTTTCGAAAATGTCATGTATCATATTTTGCATAAACGCTGTCCGTCGCATAATCATCGTGCCCTCACCGAATGGTTTGAGGTGCCCTATACACGTTGGATAGTCATTGAATATTATGTGGAACGTGTTCGTGGTACCTTGGCGCTGTTGGATCAACTGGATCTGATTGGCCGCACCAGTGAAATGGCAAAACTAATTGGCATACAATTTTATGAAGTCCTGTCACGTGGCTCACAATTTCGTGTGGAAAGTATGATGCTGAGGTAAGACGTTCTAAGTTGTTGCTAGCTTTTATAATTTTTATTGTAGTACAAAGCATCCCCAAGGCGATTTTTAGGAGTTGACTGTTCTTGGCCGTATATAAATTTGGATTCGTTCCGGTAACATGGAACCGACTATCATTAGAGAAGCTTTTATAGTTGTTTTTGTAGATGCAGAAAACATTCCCAAATAATTGTGAGTACTGCTGACCAGTTAGGGGACTTCGGTCGGATATAATTAGGGATCCATTCCAGTAATGTAGGCCCAATTGTTGTGAGAAAAAAGAACAGTCCGAATAAAAGGCTTCAAATAACAGCCCATCAGAAATTTGAGAGCAGCCTAAAGCTTCTACAACCTCTATTCGCCGGACAATACACTATTCGCACATATAAGTATTAGGAGTAGTGGAGAAATAAATGCTCATTTGGACATCTATCAATTATAGAAATTACAATATAGCACAGTTACCATACATATTCTATTGAATATTGTATCAGCCTAACCTTAGCTGACCATTCGTCCCGGTTTGGCCGGGACAGTCCGGATTCCGAGATAAGCGTTGAATAAAATTGTGTTGCTCTCTCACCTATTATATAATATGTCGTGATTTTCAGTCAAGTATAATATGGAACAAATTGATGACTAAAAAAAACCGTCCCGGATTTGGCCGGGACAAATATGATCACCCAAGCCTAACCTCTTAATTTGTATAAATTCTATAAAATACAAAATTCCTTATCGCAAATTTCTAATCCACTAATTGTAAATTATAAAACCCCACTTTTTGTAAAAAGTATATTATCTCTCACTCTTTAAGGATAGCAAAACCGCGTAATCTTGTGCCGCTCTCACCGAGCGTACAACAGCGCGCTCACATGCGAGCGCCCGAGTACTTGCCGCTTATATTAGAGCCACAGTCGCGCTTCTATGCTGATCCAGTCATTGTATTGGACTTTCAAAGTCTGTATCCGAGTATGATTATAGCTTACAACTACTGTTTCTCCACTTGTTTGGGGCGTGTGGAGCATTTGGGGCAGTGAGTATACTTTTTTTTTTTTAAATATTTTACATTTACAAGTCGGAGAATTTAAAAAACGCCTATTTCCTTTTCAGCTCCACGCCTTTTGAATTTGGCGCTTCACAGTTACGTGTCTCACCGACATTACTACGTCGTTTAATTGACGACGATCTCGTTACAATTTCGCCTTGCGGTGCTGTCTTTGTAAAATCGTCGGTGCGCGAGGGTATTCTGCCGCGCATGCTTAGTGAAATATTAAACACGCGACAAATGGTTAAACAATCGATGAAATTAGATAAATCCAATTCGGCTCTTCAACGCATACTCCATTCACGTCAACTCGGTCTGAAACTGATGGCGAATGTGACATATGGCTATACGGCGGCGAATTTCAGTGGTCGCATGCCTGCCGTGGAAGTGGGAGATTCTGTTGTTGCGAAAGGCCGCGAGACACTCGAACGCGCCATTCGTATGGTGGAGACAAATGAAAAATGGCGTGTGCGTGTCGTTTATGGTGATACCGACTCGATGTTTGTGCAAGTGCCGGGACGCAATCGTGAACAAGCTTTCAAAATAGGAGAGGAAATCGCAGCAGCCGTCACCAAAGACAATCCACAACCGGTGAAATTAAAGCTGGAAAAGGTTTATCAACCCTGTATACTGCAAACTAAGAAACGTTACGTTGGCTATATGTATGAAACCGCGGATCAAGCGGAACCTGTCTATGAGGCGAAGGGTATTGAGACGGTGCGTCGGGATGGTTGTCCGGCTGTTGCAAAAATGCTAGAGAAAGTGTTGCGTATTCTTTTCGAAACGACAGATGTGAGCAAAATTAAACACTACGTTTGCCGTCAATTTAGTAAATTACTAGCTGGACGCGCCAATTTGCAAGATTTGATTTTTGCGAAGGAGTTTCGAGGACTGAATGGCTACAAACCGACCGCGTGTGTGCCAGCGCTCGAGTTGACGAGGTGCATATGTAAAAATCTAAACTATTAATCCTTTTGTGCATAACTCGGCTCTTTTGTGGTATTCTAATATAATTTAGCTATTCGGTCAAGGTTTTTCTTATTTACAGCAAAAAAAAAACGAAACATAACCTCAAAAGTTGAGTTAGAGACTCTGTTACTCTATATACACATTTTTAAAAATTTAATTTTATGATTTTCAAAAAATCTTATGTTCACAAAAGTGTTTATTCTTAATTTCAATATTAGCTCATATTTTAAATTTCTATCATTTGTACTTTTTTACCTTGCAGGCGATGGATACAAACCGATCCACGTCGTATACCGCGTTGTGGTGAGCGCGTTCCATTCATTATTGTTAATGGACCACCCGGTGTACCGCTAATCCGGCTCGTACGTAGTCCACATGAAGTTCTGGCTGATGAAGGCTTGAAAATCAACGCGATCTATTATATCACCAAAGCAATTATACCACCACTTAATCGCTGCTTGCTACTCATCGGCGCTGATGTGAATGAATGGTAAATATTTACATTTTTTATTTTATTTTTAATTTTAATAATATAATAATTAATGCCTTTTCAGGTTCGCCAGCTTACCACGCAAATTACTTATCGTACCACCAACTTGCACAGCCAACAAGCTGGCTTTCAATGTGGAGCAGGCAAGTCATGCGAAGAAGATCACAATTTCACAATATTTCTCCGCCACAAATTGCATTGCCAGCTGTGGACGCCAGACAAAGCAGGGCATTTGCGAGGTGTGTGAACGGCAAACGCAACGCACCTTCGTCATATTGCACCAGAAAATGGCTAAAATTGAGCGAGGCTATCAATTGGTACAGCAGATATGTCAGGCATGTTGTGGTCGCGTGGGGGAGATCAAATGCAGTTCTCTAGATTGTCCAGTGTTGTATGTGAATGAGGTCAAACGTCGTGACTTGCAGCAAGTGGAACATATACGTAAACTGCTGGCAGAAAGATTTTGATTGTTTATCGGCAGCGATTGTATCCGGTTAAGCACTTTAACTTCAGCAGCATTCCCAAAATTATTTTCTGTTTTCTATTACAAGAACACGATTTTGCTTAAGATATATATTAGTGTTAAGTGTTAGGTAATTTCATGTTATTGTAAGTATTCAACTATTTTAGCTAAAGTACCGTTTAATAGTACAATATATTTAAATGCTGAACGGTTTTATAACGGTTCCAAATGCAAATAACATTTTTAAATTAACCTAAAACGCCACCAATTCGCAAGTCCTGAGTTCGATTCCAAAATATTTTGTGGGGTCTCCGACGTTTCCTTCGAGGTGTAGCACACTTCGTGCCAAGCTTAATATTATATATACTCCGTTAGGGCTATAAAAATATTTGCTCTAATAGTGATGGTCACACAACCAGCTATGCCGAACCTTCGGGTGTACTTATGCCTTGAAGAAACTTCTAATAAATTTTATAAACCATTTGGGGGGTTGCTCCCTAAACACCTTACATTTTACATAAAAAATGAAGGTATTAACCTCAAATTACAGAGTAAGCTAAATAAAATATCTTGGAAAATTTGTATATATTACATACGTATAAACATAGGTGGAAGAATAGAAAATTCATGTTTCAAAAAAATTTTTTAAAAAAATGTGAGGTTAGGACTGTTCAATGTTTGCTTAATTTAAGAAAACTTTCAAAATTATTTCTAATTCTCTACACACTTTGTATTAGAGATTAGAAACTCACATAACGGTCGTTGTTGTTGTATTAGTATCACATATTATTTAAATAATTTTGGGGAAATGTCGCTGAGGTAACATACCTGCATCGCAACCTGTTTGGGGTTATAAAAGCTTAACGTTTGTCGACTCTTATGCCTAGCTAACGGTATCAATATGCAAGTTCCACTGCCAGCATAAGTAATAGCGCTTCTTTAGTTAATTTAAACAATTTGAGTTTTATAATTTTAAAATATTTTATTAACATTTTTCATTTCATTATATAATTAAAGTGCTCAGAATGTATTGAGTCCATGTACGAGCATATGAGAACATGCACTAATTGTATTATATTTAAAAATTGTACAACTTGTATATGTAGAAATGTATGAATGTATGTATGCGTTGAATATGAGAATGATCATGTTAAAATTGTTGCTGTTGTAGTTGTTTTTTTTTTGTTTTACAAATTTCAAAATTAAAATTGTACAAATAGTTGTTGTATGTATAATAACAATGACATTTTTTTTACGCTAAATTAAATCAGTGAGTTTTTTCATCTATGTTTATCAAACAATTTTGCCACGCCTTATGTATATTAAAGTGTGTGTGTATATGGTAACAAATTTTTTCTTTAAGTAATATTTCACAATTTCTCATGCTACAAAATGTATCTAATATTCATATTTAAAATGTTGAATTATTTTTTGTTCGTGTATGTGTGTGTGTGTGTTTGTTTTTAGCAACTATCAATTTTAAGCATACAAAAATTACTCAATGATGTTTGACAATTAAGGCAAAAGTAAATTGTAAATATACATATGCATAGACATAGTTGCAACAAATTTTATAAATATATATGTATGTATGTGTATATATGTAAGTAGCTAAGACATATGTCTAAATAGATCATATGCATTGCTTACGGTATACACACAATGTAAGATGAGACAATGTTTAATTATGGTGGGTGATGGTTTGTGTTGCTTTTGTAATTGCGCGAGTTAATCTGTCGCTACTGTTTAATGATTGTTTATTGTTTGTACAATTCCACACTGCTGTAGCGCATGCATTTGCTAAACGGCCACTATCACTACATATCGAGTTCGAACATCATCGTGTTTCGATGTGCATCCGCATCGGATGATTCCTCTGATTCGAGACGAGCACGTTGCATTTTGCTGCCGCCCTTTACGTGCTGCTTGTTGGCGGTGTTATATTTATTGGCGTGTTTGCCACCAGCATGTGGCGGCTTATGAATACTGTTATCTGCGCTGTCACCTCCTTTACTCTTCGATTTCAGATATTGGGTGTCAACGTCCAAGTCAATGGGCTGCAAAAAAAAATATAAATTTGAAATTATAATTTAAGGAATTACGATATATTTTTTTTTGTTAATTTACTGTTTTTATATATATTTTGGTATAATTACAAACACAATATTGTATTTGTATAGATTCAAGTTTTTGCCTTCATGTTATTCTACATATTAAGATTATTAAAAGTTCAAGCCAACTCGGAGCAGTAGATTAATTTTTATGAGAACTTTCTCATGCATAAAAATGCTCAAGCTAATTTTTCTATGATTACCGAAATGTTCAGATTCTAAATTCGTTCGAATTCACGACCCTGAACTAACAGCCCAAGTTCTTCATAAGAGCTACTTTTAAACACAAAAGTATTGTTGGAACTGCACTTTGTCCAAATTAGGTAGGTATTCTTATCTAATATATGTTATTAGCTCTAGCTCCAATCAGTCGTGAGTTATAAATCATGAGAATTACATTTTCGAGAAAAGCAAGACGACACTCAATTTCGATGTGGTGACCTAGCAATACATTTGGCTGGTAATTTATTATATATCTGGCACTGTAGAGGTCACTGAAATCGATTTATTGCAAAAGTATTTTGTTTCTTTTGTTGTTAAAGCAGCTTAAAACATTCTGTATAGACATTTGCCACCTCACCCGCTCTGCCTTGACGACAACTCTTGTCCGCACACACGTAAATTCGGCGCAGTTAAGATTAGGTAAATTCTACTGTCTTGTGAACATTTCGAAAAGGTGTAATAAATCAACTCAATTAAGTTATTATTTACAAAATATTATCACAGCAGTTACATTAAAAATAGTTGGTCCAAAAATATACCTAATAAGCAGGGTTATGATACTATGAAGGATGTGGAAGGATGTCGAAAATCTATATCTGACCGAAAAAAGGCGACAAGAGCTGCTAATAAATTTATTTACAATAACTGACTTAGACACAATAAAAGGGAGTTATTCGGAGATATATATGTACATATAGAGGTAATAAATTTGGCAAAGCACTTTAGTTAACTGCGGAGAAGCTTTTACGGCAGTACTCAATAAGAATTAATATATTTATATTGGAGTGATTAACAATTCATTTGAATATTACTGTTATATAAGTATGGTAGATTTTATCCCCTAAAATATAGTAGAAGTGTATCGCTAAGAATATGTTGTCCATGAGACAAAGAGGAAGCTCCCATAGATTTTCAAACTTTTATGGTGAAAGGGTTATACTATAACAACAACAACTAAAGGAAACAACTCATAAAGGCTGCACCCCATTAGCGTTCTGCAAACACACAGACACACCAGTGCGCACACATCCTCTGCGAGTAATTTTAGCACTGCTATCGAAAGCGCCGCCAAGAATCAATTCAAAAATAACAATGTCCCACTTTCAGGCTAAAGTGCTGCAATCAATGAAGTAATTAAGCTATGCTATGCAAATAAACAAATCGGCGAATAAAGTGTAATGTACATACATAACGAGTGAGCACTACAAGTATTTACTTACATATGTACATATATCGTATTTACGTAAGTGATTCCTTCGAATTAAAGAAGAAAATCTTAAATGACAAAATTGACCACTTGTTTACTGTCGGTGCATACAACAAAAAGTATTTATTTGTCAATATGTCTGTATATCAGAATATTGGCGTTGGGGGTGTAAATATCACATGTTTATGTTTGTATAAAGGAGGACACAGCTGGCGTGATGCCAATAAATAATTTAAAGTCATGTAACATATTCATATATTATGTTTATATAGAAAAGTATTTATATAAAGGGCGATCCAGTAATGATTTTTCAATGCATATTAACTAAACAGGGACAAAATATTCCTAAAATTCTGAATAGGAACCAGGAAGACAATCTGCAAAATGTTACCAATTTATTTATACAATACAAATATTGAAAAGGTATCAAAACTGCCGTAACTAGGAACCAGAAGAATACAGATAGTTGTCTGGAAACCAAAGCATCCTTAGCGAATAATCTATGAAACATTTTTGGCATACAACATAACAAGGCATTCGGCAATGCACCGATATGGTCGCGAGTACATACTTATGTATGTAGCGAAACACAGACGAAGAAGTTGCAGACGGGCCAGAACACTGCACTTCGTACGATAACAGGATGCCTTCTGTCTCACTGTGATGACCTTGTGATGTCTCTCTCACACCTACTTAGTGAGTCATGGAGGCTTCCGGTTAATGAACACAATGCACACCTTTTCAAGCTATTTCTACTGGAATGTATTCGCAGAAATCATCCCTGCAGTCATCTGCTTGAAAGGTAACTGCCTTCTAGGAGCATCACGCAACTTACTTCAGAAACGCACTGCCTCCAACCGACTACCTCCCAGTGAATGGCGTACTTGGGAGTCAAACCACAACCCATTGCAGATAAAAAACTCTAGTTGTCCTGAGAATCTAGAGTGATTTTTGTGAAATTTCGTTTTGGATATTGTACCAGTTTAAACTCCTACCTATCTAGTATTAACACCGACATACTAAATATACATATGTCGTGTGTGTTATGAGTCCATGCATGACTCTAACCAACTTTTCGCAAGACTAATGAATCTCACTCATCTAATACCTCTCTCACCATGGTGCGACCTCGTCGAAACAGCACGTTTCCTGGGTCTCTCTCAGAGATGACAACCAGCTTGAACCTTACCATCGTTACAACAATACAAATAGTAGCTTGGCTCTGATTTTGAAGTGATAGAATCATTCACTTTTAACTAGTGCAGGAAATTTAAGACATGAACGTAGAGCAACAAAAGCCCAATTAGGGATTGCTAACTAAAACCGATTGTCTTATTTCATGAACGTTACAGGATTTTGAAGCGGATAGCAAACAAGCTATTACTGAAATAAATTCGAGAGAATCACTCAGGTCTTAAACCATTAAATGCGTAACTGCAAAAAAAGCCAAAATAGCTTTCTAAAAGAAAAAAATAAATACAAGATATAAAAATCTATGTACTAAAGAAAATGTTTTTTGTTGAAATTTCATAAAGAAAGCAATATAAGGACCACCCTGTACACCCAAATCTTACCTATACATAAGTACTTATGTATATTTGTTTACATTTGAAAATGGTTATTTCAAGCAAGATTACAAACAAATACGCCCTCGCAAATGTAATTAGATATGTGAGTTGTTATCAGTATTTTAAATAAACATATAAATTTAATTTACTGATAATGATAGATTAACAGAGAATTACATGTCAGCTAAGAATTGCTATTATTAAATAATTAAAGACTCAGTGGAATTTTAATTAGATTTGGGCGAATAACGCGAATTTTCATTTTATGAAAAAAATATTTCTGCATTTGTCTACATTAATGTTGTCACCTACAAAATATTCTCCATTCAATATTATGCACCTATGTCAGCGCTTCTTTCCATTGTCGAAACACTTGTCAAACTCGATTTTTGTGATAGTCTTTAGCTTAGCTATGCTTGTAAAACTACGGCCCTTTAAGGTTCTGTTTATTTTTTGAAATAGAAAAAATCACACGAAGCCATGTCTGGCGAATATGGCGGCTGGGCCCTCGTTACAATATTTTTTTTTTTGAGAAGAATTCATGAACATATATTTGATTCATTTCTTTTAACAAACGAAAATCGCTAAGTCTCATAAAAACACGTCTAACCTTAGCGGCTGCTACAGACAAAACAAGCAATAAATACAGCTGAAAATATTATCATATTTAAGGGGCATGTATATCAACATAATAAAACAAAAAAAAATTACAGTGGGAGTCTCCAAACTTGCGAAATTTTAATTTTAAAATTTAATTTAACACAACTCGTATTGAAAGTTAACTTTCAAAGGCTTATGGATGCTCATATGAGTTTCCTAACTGTTAAAACAAATACACTTACGCAGTCTATTCGAAAAAAAACTAATTCTATATTTGATATTTTACTAGCGCAGAAATAGAAACCACAATCCACTAAATTTTAGACGTGCTAATTAACAAAAAGTTAAAGCGGTGAAAACGACTTTTACGGGCTTATTATAAATGTTTGCTTGTTAATTAAAAAATAATAGTAATAATACCAAAATTTTACGCGCATATTCAGTGATAGCTTTTACAGTAGTCCCGCGCTTTAAATTTCCTTACACTACACACCATTTACTCACCTTGCTATTATCTTCGTAGTCGGCAGAATCGCCTTCGCTCAGGCGGCGCTGCAAGGCGCGCTGTTTGCGATCACGGCGTTTCTGATTTTTCTTACGTTGCCCCAAAATGCTGGAATTTAGCCTAAAATACAAGAAGAAAGCAAAGTTAAGATAATAGTTCGCAATTGAGGCAATTTAAGCCAAATTAAATATGTATACACTTGAGAATATTTATATTGCTTAGACAGCGCTCAATTGTTTTATCAACTGTTATGCACGTCATTGTGAGTAATTTGTGAATTGAGCAATTTAACTGTGAAATTTTGCAAATCAGCCGTACAGAAAATCAAGATAAGGGGGCATCTCAAAGTGAACCGCTTGTTTGTTTTTGTTCATATTCATATTATTATATAGCAAAATTTAAATTATGCTCATCCGTTAATGGAAACTCACCTAAATACCTGCTCCTTGATGACCTCATTAAATCTAACAGTCTTTTTACAACTCTCCGATAGCCTATTGGAGTCATTTTCCTCCGGTATGTCACTGAATGATTGCGAGAAACGCAAGCTACTCCCCACACCACCATCCACGGAACAAGAAAACGACGAATACTCATCGATAGACGAGCAGCTGTCAGAAATCGATGGACGTGGCGCATAACGGCTATAGCGTTTCAAAATACCCTTGAAGGAGGGTGGTAGAGTGGAAGCACCGCTACTCACAATACTATCACCACTACGACACTCCGAATAGCTACGTTGTTTTCGTTGTTGTACACCATTTGGTACAGCCATTGATTGGGTGTTCATGGATGGTGGCTGTAAGTTTGGTGTAATTGTGTCGTTACGTTCCGGTGATGAGTTATCATCCGGTGAATTAGAAGAATCATCATTCAAAATTTTAGCAGCCTCTTTCAAAAATTGTTTTTGCTGTTCCTGCTGTTGTTGTTGCTGCTGTTTTTGATACACTTTGATATCATCACATACCGATTCGGAGAGTGAACGACGTTTCTTATTCTTCTTCTTTTGTTTTTTGTTAACTTTCTTCGGCGCTGCATCGGCTGCATGCACCAAACCATCCTCATCTTCTGTGGTATTAGCCGTACAGGTGGATTGTACTTCGTTTGTAGGTTTTATTTCGATTTCCACAGAACGTTCACACTCCGAACGTTCAACGGAAATGTCCAATGATGAGGAAAGTGAAATCGGGGGCGTTGGTGGAGATTTCTTGCGTGATTGACGCGATTTATGAACCAATTTGAACTTTCCTTGTATTGTGTACTCTTTTAAATCACTGGCGTCAATGCCAACTAAGTAGTTGTGGATATTCTCACAAGAGGCAGCCATGTTTAGATTCAGTACTACATTATTTTCCCAAGCTTCAGCTTCCGCTGACGAAATTTCTGCATTACAATCGTCAGGCAGTTGCAAGTAGAGTGCATAATGCGTTGGGTAATAACCGCTGCCAATCGATGTAAATTGCAGATGTAGACTCTTAGCGCTCTTAAGCATTGCTATTGACTCCGGCTGTACATTGCGAACGTGTAGTACCAAAGACATAACATTGTCCAAGACATTGCAGTCGAATTTGGCGGGCAGCTGATACTGAATGGAACTCTTAAGGAAATTGGTGGCGGTGTTTATTGATGTCGGCGCTGGCGAGCTGAAAGACTGCGACGCTGTGAATGGGTAAAAGGATGAAATATATTTATTCAACCCATTCTTCAAGTAAAAATTGAGACATTTTGCATTTAAACAATATAAAATAAAAAAAAAAAACATAAATGATTATCAAATTAAATCTTCCTTATCAGTTGTAAGCTCAATTTGTATTTACTTATGTTGAAATTACAAAATTTGAATACTCACAATTTACATTGTCACCAGATGCGCTCAGGTTTTCCTCCACCGTGTCACTAAGCTCATCTACGGGTGATTCGCTATTTGACTGCAAATTGCCCTCTTCGCGAATATCACTCTCCACACCGCTGTCTTCGCGATTAAGTTGGAAAATGGAATCATGCATGGTACGTTGCTTCCTTGGACTATTCTGCGTAACTGGCAGCGTTATGCATAAACGTCGCTGGTCCGTATCGAAACGCGCAACACCGCGCTTATCATCCACAGCATAGGGGAGATCTAAATTGAGTCGATACTTTGCGCCGGTACGTTCGCTCAATAAATACAATGACTTATCTGTCACATCCAATTTACATTCGGCTGTAGACTTGAGGAGAGGTAATTCGATTTCTATCACTAACTCGCGCGGTACCGTCACACTGAACTTAGCGTCTAATTCATAGGTATATTCGGAGAGATCAACATCACGACGATGCTTAATAACATATTTGGGTATATTAAATTCTGGTTTTGCAATTTCATTTTGTGTTTTCATCGGTATAATTTTGGGTTTACCGGCATCAGCTGATGGCATGGCAGGTGAAATGCCATCCAAAGGGTGTGGTTCGGCAGCCTCTGCTGGCGCAGTTTTTGATAATGTACGTATCACAATTGGGCGTGACATGCCCTTAAATTGTAGTTTTGGAAATTTTAAATTTGTACGATCCAAATCCACCTGTAGCGACAAATTTTTCATTAATATATTTATATATGTTTGTAAATGCTTATATGCATATCATCCAGGTAACAATTTGCATTGATTCCGATAAATTTATCGAAAGTATAAATTTGCTCACCTTGAATTCTCTTTCTACAGCGTCCAGCGCTGTGTCAATGAGGCACTTACGGAAAGCGGAATCTCGTTGTGACAAATACAACGCATCCGGATGGAAAATCACATCGTACACGCGACAACGCTTACCCTGTGCATCTAAATCCTCACGTGGTGGCGCCTGCGCAAGCGGTATCGACCAGCTTAAGTCGGGATTACCCGATTCGGGATTTAGGCACAACTTATTCGATGGACGCGTTAGTTCGGCACATTTTGCTACATTTACGAAACACTTTGTAACACCATCCTCAGATGTTTTAATCACGAAACCGGGTTCGGGATTTATAAAACGCACATCTACTCCCCGTTCCGCTTCAAATTGTTTAATTTCTTGTTCGTAAAGTTTACGATTTTCCGGATCTTGTATCTCTTCACAATATTCAAAGAATAATTTTCGAAATTCTTCTTTTTTTAAAGCATCTTCAATGCGCGCAAACTCCTCTTTCGTTATATCAAGATATTCTGTGCCGCCGCCGCCACAATTTTTGCTATTACGTCTTGGGGGCGGCGGGCAATGTTTATTACGCGCAGAGGAGTTTTGAGTGGCGGTCGATTCCGACATTTTTGTAACACAAATTTTAATTGGACAATTTTCAATTGACAAACTCTACAAAAGTTAGACTGATAAAACAAAATAATTTATTGTTTTGTACACCAATGCTTTTATGCTCTTTTCTTTGATTTTTCTTTTTTAAGAAATAAAATGTATTAAATTTGACTTTTTAACGCACTATAATTTGTTTGCACACCAAGTTTTTTAGTTTTTATATGTGGTAGAAATTATGCGATGCAAATCTGAAATAAAAAAAAAAACAATATATGTATATGTTTTTATAACGAGGTTATTTTGTTATATGTTTCATGGTCTGGATTACAAGTTTTAATATTTTTGTATGTTTTATAAAGAGTAAATTCTTACATTTATACATACATTTTGTTTACATACAAAAACAGCAACGATAACAATGTCGTCATATGAACAAACATAGATACATAAATTAATTTGTATTAACAAAAAAAAAATATGTACAATAAAATGTTTTTTATCTTTGAAGATTAAAAATGAGAACACTCATTGCCTATGTGTAGACTCTTTGGTCCCTGAATAGAAGGAAACTCAAGCCGAACCCAACCGAGTTGATTAAAAAAACTCTCGACATATTTATGTTTTTATTTTTGAAAAAATATTTCAACGCTTTTAGCTCTTTTTATTAGTTTTTCTTATCTCTACAATGAATGCCAACGTATATGTAATGTGTATGCAGATAGGTACATCATACATATGTATGTCTGAAGGTCTTTCTATTTGCGTTATAAAAATTACGAATACATAGGAACGAGAGATATTCTAATCAAACACAATTTGAGAGATATCAAACGAAAGACCGGCTAATTATTGTCTACCATGCGGCCTGGTGACGACTAACAAATTCAATTGGATGGAAATGAATTAAACACTTTTTGTTCTACAAGTTTAAATGAGATTTCACTACAATATGCACTTTTTCACATGTCAACAATTTAATGAGGAAAACCATGATATATAAATTGGCTTAACAAAATCACCCTCAGCTTACATCAATTTTTTGGCTGCGCTGTGTTTGCGTGATTCTAACCAAGTAGTATATGTAAATACATATGTACAAGTATATGCACAAGTAAATAAATATTTTTTGTAATGTTTTATCAATATTTTCAATAATGTGTACCAACTCTGTAAATATTAGTACTTATGCATGTCTGTATATAACCAAATATCGTAGACAAATTGTCCACTATGAATACCGGCTTCAAATCGATTTTGTTCTGAGGAATACGAAGGTAGTTGTTAAATTATAAACAGCCGTCAACTAACGGTAGTCAACGGTTATCACCTTGCGCATCCCACAACTACCTACACCAATGCATATTGAATGGGGTTACCTACGGAAAACCCATGTGCATGCAACCGGCAGTAGGGGGTCATTATTATCCACTACAAGCAATAAAACTTGATTTGCCTTGGACGCAACTTGCAGCGCCGGCGACCCGGTTCGTATGCCATGGCTTTACATGTTTGCACACACGTATGACGAGCGATGTCAGTGACATTTGCACTACTTTTCTTTCTATAATCTTTTCTCTACACCAAATAGCAAAGTGGGCAGCTGACTCTTGCCATGAGGTAAGGATTCAAGAGCTGCAAATGTTCCATTAATTTAAGCAAACGCTATTTGTTATTGGTATTTATGTATGTATATATGAGTTTATAAACAAACTCAGCTGTTTCACATATTGTCACGTATTTTAGGGTGCTGATAACGAAATATTGCGAATTTCACTGTTCCAGAAGTTACTTTACTCTTAGATAAGTACATACACCATTTGTTCATAGGACTTTGATAACTCAATATTTTGATTTAGCACTGCTTTTTCTGCGAAAGTATGTTCAAACGCTCCAGCCTCGTGTTTCCTATTGCGCAGCGGCTTATTAGTTTTCACCTACAATGTATGTATATATACATATTTCCTAAATTTTTATTTTTGTACCAGTTTTTGCTGTTTTTTCTGACGTGTATTTAATGGCGGCTACGACAGTTGGAGAGGAAATCATCTGATAAATTGTGTTAGTGACGGCATTTTAGTATGCAGTTTATAAGGTAACCGAATGTTAATGACCAAAGTGGGTAAAACCACGTGGTTGTGTTGTACCCAATTCTTTTGAAATATTCGCTAAGCTGTTTCGCGGTATTTAAATTAGTGAAAAGCCCACTAAGAAAATATATCAATAACATTATCTTTACCTAAAACAGTATAATTGTATGAACTTTAAACAACAGCTAATAAGCACCCGGTTCACAACTTGTCTATTCACCTTAGGTTTAGAAAAAGAGAACAACAATAATAAATAAAAAAAATTACAGGAGAGTCGTGTATAACAGCTGTGAAAGAAGTGCAGTAGCTGATTTTTCTGGAACTCCACTTCAGCTGATAGTGTTGGTTAGCGCTCAACTAATCATTGCAACATATGACTATGTACACAGCCCTTATTATTGAATAGTATGGTATTGTTATAAGTATTTATAACAATTTGACAAAAAAAATAATACATATTGTATATTATGGCTAGTTGTAATTGTGGATTACATCAATTGTTTGATGGGTTTAAGGCGTGATTAACCGGTTTTAAGAACGTAGACACCAATCTTCTGCAATAACCCTTCATAATATTTAATACCTATTTAGCGTTAATGCACAATATTCTTTGCACGCACACACACACATAAAGTAACTCACATACATGCACACGCATTACTATTTTTATTTAATTCTTCTGTAATTTTGTAGATATGTATACATGCAGTCTGTAATAGATATATAGCAAAGCGAAAGTAATTGTATACTAACCGGCCTTTCGTACTTTTAATTTGAATCACCGGTTTTCAATTAATAAATATACTATATTTTAGTTTTATGATTGGAAATTTTATTAATATGACTTTAGTTTGTCTGCGCTCTCGGCGTTTACACAAATTTACAACCACTTGCGACGAATTGATATAATCAACTGGCCGCTTACCACAGCAGAACCCGCGTACAAACAATACGATAGGTGAGAGCTCCGGCATACGAACTAGTTGGAGAGTGTATTTTCCGAATATATGCCGGTTCTGTTGTTGTTTTGTTTTAATGGCCTCTGCGCCTCACACTGTTCATCGACGCAATTTAAAAACAATCGTGGAACATACACACACACATAATTTATGTATGCAAGTATGTATATGTATGTTATTAGTAGACGAAATGATTTGGAAAAACGTCTTAACTAAAAAAACATAAATTTGCTTAGTCTGAGGCCTTACCATAGTTTTGAAATATCATATTGAGAGTTCTCTTTATTTTTTTAATATTATATTAAAGAGTAATATGCAAGTTATTCTCAAAAAATTGTTCTATAGATATTATATTAGATTAAATTGACTTATTATATTTATACATAAAATAATAAAATTACATTCTGTCGGCTTTGACTAATATTTCAATATTTTGTTAGTCATATTTACCTACTAAGAAGGTATATGATAGTATATACATACATATGTATGTATGTATGTATGTATGTATATGGATGTGTGGTTGTATAAAATATATAAGAAAGAGGAAATGAATTTTTACTTCCCTCATTGAACGGGCATTATTCACGTACCAATATTTTTATTGATAAAACAATATATACATATACTTAATATACGAATATGTACATATGCAGTCATATTTGTCTTCTTAAAATAATTTTAAAAACTAAAATAATAAATACTAACCTCTCAATGTAAAATGTGTATTTAAAATTCATATCAGCTGAAACTAAACGGAACTTTCACTAACTTATCGACCTTATTTAATGAAACAGTCGATAAGGGCGTGCGCGAAATGTCAAACTTAAATAAAATTGTTCAAAAGCTTTTGCGCGAGAACGTATATAAATTACCAGTGAAATCGAATAGTGAGTGATTGTGTAAATTTTTTTAGACATATCAATTGAATAATAAAAATTGATTAAAGTGAAATATTATGTTACACACCCGAACTAAATTACAGTGATATTAACAGCTGTGTGTGCCACTTTATAAAAGGTGAGTGAAGTTGAAGCCTTACTTACTAGCAAAGTTCTATAGTAGATCAATTAATTTAAAATGATGTTATTCAAACTGATATTTTAAATTCTTTGCTGATATACATAACTTACATATATATATGTTCCATTTCAAGGCAGACTGCCTAAGTAATGGCCACGGCCCCAATTTTTAGTCGGGCACTAACTCCCAATGAAGCGCTGTTTGTGAAAAACCCTTTGTGCAATTTTTAATGTTGCTACAATTAGAACAATTTACAAATATATGCACTTATATATTCCCAAACACAGTATTCTAGCATGAATTGCTTTGATGCATTCTGCAGGGCAACTTCTCGCAGTTCCAGAAATTATGTGGCCGGAAGTTCAAAAGCGCTGATTCATTTATGTTGCAAACATCAAAGGATTGAATTTAGTTACGGTATTAATCTATTTTATTGGATGTTTTATAGATTTTTAATGATGTTTAAGGGGTTAGGCCAGTCTAAAACCCTCAAAAAGCTGTATGTAAAGGGCTATCTTGGGCAATAATCTATGCCAAAGTCAAATCGTGAAGATATCTTGTCAAATAAATAAGTGGCAGCTATATCCTATAGTGGTCCGATATCAGTGGTTCCGACAAATGAGCATCTTCTTTTGGAGAAAAGTATGTGTGCAAATTTTCAAATCGATATCGACACTACAGCGGTTTGGAAGGGGATTTTTTTGACTATTCTACTAATTAAATAGTTTTTAGGACCCTAAAATGTACTTTAAGCTAACAAAATAATATTTTTTAAATTCTTAAACCGGTCTAACCCCTTAATACATTCTGGTGCATACAGGTCACCGATTTTTTTTTATCTAAATTTCAAAATTAATTTCCGCTTCAGTTATTTAAACGATCTTCAATAATCTTTTTTATGTTATAATTTTTGGATACTATTTTAGTGCCAACAGCGTTTTCTCTTTTAGTTAAAAACCCACAATTTAATTACGCAAAGCCAAATTATTATTTTTATATATAAAGAATTCCTTTATTGTACAGTAAAGGTAACCTAAACATTTTACAAGTACGTACTATACAATAAATAATCGATCGTTATAATATATAGATATACAAATTCAATAGAGTGCCACAAGTAGCAGTATAAATTTATAAAATAAGATTTTTGTCTTAATGTTAAATTTTCAAACAAATTTAAAGAATTTAATTTACAAATAACTTACAAGTATTCACACACATACATGTATAAAAAAATACAGACACAAGCTCATGCACACCAATAATTTTACTAACTATACTTTAAATTATATTCATTGTAGTAAAATTATGTAATTTATGAATGATAAATGATGATTTTAGAAAACTATTTTTCCAAAGAATATGGTATAACATAATTCATTTAATATGATTTGAATTCTAGGCAGCAATTTTATATATTGTAAATTGTGTCAGAGGTTGATAAAAATTTGCCTGAATTCCAAAACAAAATAAGCTTAATGACAATTCTCTAAGCTACTTTTCTTCTATTTTCGCATATTCGAGTGTCCGCTATGCACTCACTTTCGCTCTGCGTTCAATGCAATTTTACGCCTGACCCTTGGCGTAGTAATAGCCAGCAAAGGGCAAAGCGTGGAATGATTGTGTCAGTGGGATTGTACGCCCAGCTGTAGCTGCGCTTTGTTCTTGTTGACGGCGTAAACGTGCTGGTTCATATGGCGGTTGTAAATCGCGTTGCAATGCCAGCGAGGCCAAATGCTGCTGCTTAAGATCACTGATCATGGCGATTTTGCGATGTTTCGGCTGTTCTCCTATAACTGGTGTTGCCTGAGCGGCGCTGATGGCTGCTGCAGTGGCGCCATTACCAGCCGTAGTGCCAGTTAATTGATAGGCTTCTAAGTCATCATCGCGTGGCAGCGGTTTATGTTGATCCTCCTCGACTGGGCTGCCATCGGGACGTACACGGAACACTAGCGGTCCACTGAGGAAGGTCTCTGTGGAGGACTTTTGATTATCTGTCTGCCCGTTGGCATAGCCATAGGTAATATCCATATCCATTGCGAATTTGTGTTTATTGTCGGCTTCACCGTCGAAGAGTGGATTTTGACTGTGTGTGTTGGTCGTGCCGGCTGTATTGGCTGGCTTTTGATGCGTGAGTATGATAAGTGAAGAATCGGGTGGTGTTGGCAAGGGTTTGCGTGTAGTAATCAATGTTGAGCTTTGATGATTGCGCATAATGGAAGACCAAACTGTAAAGGAAACATAAAAAATCTCTATTATTACAAAGAAATCTATTTTTAGCAATGTAATTAAATTATTGATGAAGTAATTATGCATTACAACTCTGGCTGGGTGTAAAAATGCATACACAAAATAGCAAACGCATGATTTCCAGTTATTTATTTGACATTAAATAACAATTAATTACATTATCTATTATTCAACGGTACAGTGAGGCAAATTCAGTTTATATCGTGTTAAAAATTAGACTTTACTCATTTATGATGCTTCTAAGAACAACGTTTATTTTATTACTGTTGGCGGTGCTTTAATGCAACAATGTGTCAAGCAGACAACGCATCTATCTATCTATCGTGTTAAGTTAATTGCAAATTTATGCGAAACTATTATGGTGAAAACACTTCCTTAATAAAAACTTATTTACATTACATTAGCTGCGCGATAATCGAATTTGGTCAATGAACAGATAATATGCATTGAAACTGTTGCGTTAGTAGCCCCGTTACTCATAATTTGAGTTTTAGCTAGTGCTTAAAAATATTTCTTCATTCTTTGGGATAAAACAAATAACCAGAAAGCAATAAAATTCACTTAACTTCAATGGAGAACAAGAAAAAATGTTAACTTCGGCTGCGCCGTAGCAATAATACGCTTCACAGGTCTATTTCTTATAGCAAATACATACATATGTGTATGTACTTGTATAAGTAAATCTGAAAACATAACGCCAACGATTTGTATCCAACGGAAAATATTTTGCTAATTTCTTTTTAGCCACCTTGTTTGATATAAACAACTTTCAAGTCGAATTCATTTGATGAATGTAATAAAGGGAAAAGATCGTCATATTAGTCAGTAAATTTCAGCTAAGTATATACTACAGTGCTCCGATCTGAACAATTTGTTAGGACAATAACTTTTACTGAATTTCGTGAAGATATCTTGTTAAATAAAAAAGTTTTCCATTCAAGGTATTCAGTTTGATTGATCAATTTGTCTGACAGCTATATCTTATAGTGATTCGATATTTGCGATTCCGATAAATAAACAGCTTCTTAGGGAGAAAAGTACGCGTGCTAAATTTCAGGTCGATATCTCTTCAGTTTTGTTTCAGTTTTCAAAACATATGCATACCTGGTGGACCGCTGTGATAGCTGTCTTCTTCTGAATGCCAAATCTTTGAGAGTGCCTAGTCAAACAATAAACTGGCATAAATCATCTAGTATAATCAAGCAGATAAAGGAAGCGGTTATACCACTTTAATGAGGTGTCTGCATACTATCTTCTATTGAGTCAACTGGGTAATTTTATGACAACAGTGTATAGGGTGACGTAGCGAACAGAGAAATATGTTTTGGATACTGCTAGTGTCATGCTGGCCCAGTTGCAGAAAATTTCTATGGTTTTAATTAACAGTCAGCATGATTTTCTCATTTCTCATCTCCAAGGACTTATTGAACGCAGTTCGAAGGCTTTTTTTGGGCAAAATCGATTTTTAAAAGGGTAACTAGTTACATCGTATGTTTAAGTAGTTGTTCGAAAATTCGTTAAAAAAAAAAAAGTTAAGTATCACTGGTGTCGAACTATTTGAAAATCATCTTCCTTATTCAGCGTTTTTCTAAATATTTAGAACATGTTTTTGTATACTAGAAAATATATTATAAAACGAAGTAAGGAAGGGCTAAGTTCGGTTGGCTCTTTCAATTTCATTAAAATAACTCCCACAATGATCGATTAATGTGGTATAAAGTCAACTGGAAGTTCGAAAATCTTTATATTAGGTATATGGGGGCTAAGAGAAGTATTGATTAGATTCAACTTATTTTTGACACAAGGGTATATTATTAGCAAAATAACATTTTCCCCAGATTTTACGTATGTATATATCTTACAGATTGACCGATATTTTTGGTCTGGGGTCTACATTTCCGGTATCTGGGGGCTTGAATAGTTATGGTGCGATTTTGACAACTTTTAGACCTAAGATGGTATACCTTAAAGAAAATATTTTGCGAATTTTTATCTTTGGCACTGTTAAATGGAAATGCCAAAATAATCTTACGTACCAAATTTGTCTGAAGTTGATGGAGTAAGCTCGGAGATATGTAATTTGACCTAAATATCGGCGGTGCCACACCCATTGTCCAATTTTGACATCAGCCCCTATAAAACACTTTTGTGTTGTTTTGGATGTAAAATTTAATGTATCTGGTGCATTTCGTTTTGGATTTATCGCAGTTTTAGTAGTTTTTAACAAAACCGTTATATGGGGAATGAGTGTGGTTATCATCCGATTTCACCTATTTTCATGCTGTCACACGAGGTCTCGAAATGATTTATCTTGTGATTTCATTCGGGTGATATAGCTTGAATAGTTTGGGAGATATATACGTTAAACTTGTAAGGGGACGGGGACGGACTTGTAAAAAACAGGTGCCACTCATTATTGCGATTTGTTGTATCAAATTAAGTATAACCCTATAACTCGATTATTTTTTGGCGATATAAACAACCGTTAGTTGAACAAAACTATTATTCTCTGTAGCAACATGTTGCAAGAGTATAAAAATGAGGTGTCAGCCGGGATTATGTCAAGACATTGCATATAAGTGAGCCTTGGAAACATCTCTGTGCAGAAATCTTTTGTTGGCTATTTCAGTGTGAAATTAAATATGGTAGGTTCACTAGTTTGTGTCATAAATAAATAGAGGTGTATAGAGATTTTAGACTATATAAATTTTTCCAGCTATATGTGTAAATACGATTGTGTTAGAACACGCCCTTAAAGTCTAAAGAAACCTTCACATAAACTTGGTAAAGTTGTAAAAAAATTTTAGAAGTAATATAATATGTCTGCAGCTGTACATATTTTTTTAATTGCACAATAAAATTGATGAATGGACAAACACAATTAGCAGTAAAAGCCATTGCGGAAGTCAATTAATCGGCGCCTATAAATATGGACTCGCGGATAAATGCAAATACATACATATACATAAATATAAATAAATACACATACATACATACACACATATCCACATACACAATCAACTATTGAGCACCAACAACTGTTTTCTAAAGTTTTATAAAAAAAAATTTTTTATTTTATTACACTTGTCAACTTACTAAGTTCATTGGCAGCCCGTTGATAGGGATCCAGCAGATCCAACTGCGAGTCGGTGAACGTTTGTAGTTTCTCATAGCCATAGGCGAGCAAGTCGCGCTTGCACTCGTTCACTGGCATCGCCGTGCTGGCGGCGGTGGCTTTACAGTGCACGCTGACCAATTGACCGAACGTCGAGTAGAGGTACGACATCTGTGGGGCGAGAGAAATGTGAAATATAAAGTTATTAGTGATTATTTTTTATAAACTTTAATTATATATTTTTGTTGTAATTGTATGTATAACTGATAGTTATATTTATTTAATTACACGCTTATTGATAAGAAGACGGACGTGGCTTGCGCCAGAAGTAGAGTGCAGTGTGAAGTATATTTTATGATAAAATATGTTTTCTGCGAGACGATAAGCACTAATACCGATATTTATAGTTGAATGAGATAAATGCCAATAAGTGTGTGACAAAAAGACGATTATATGTGAGATTTGAGATATCTTAGAAATTAGTTGTTGAGAATTTGAAATATTTTATTATCTTTTTCAACATCCGACGATTTGTCAGCATTATCGCAACAAACCTACTTGCGATATTAATAAGGAAAATGTCTCTCGGTATAATTTATGACGGCTTATCTTTAAAAGATGAAGGCACAAATTTTCTACGAACGAAGAAACCCAACTTGATCTTATTTCCATAAAATATTTAATACTTTAAAAACTTATGTTAAAACCCCATTGGTTTTAAATTTTATCAAATAAAACAGGTAAAAACACATTACCGTTTTCTCACGAACTCTAACGAGTGCAATGACAACAAAGCAACAACTTTCAAGCCAATTAATTCAACCGGAACCGGAATGGATACGAATTTATATCCCGGAAATTATGATCTCGACTTTTTGTATGGAGAAAGCTCTTTCATTTGACGAGATATCTTCAAGAAATTTGGCGCGGGTATTGTTTCATGCAATAGTGTAATCTTCGAAGAAACTGTTTAAAACAGATCACTATAGCATATAGCTGCCTTAGAAAGTGAACGATCGGAATGAAGTACTTGCCTAGAAAGCTTTTTCATTTAAAGAGATATCTTCACCAAATTCGGCATGGGCTATTGTCCAAGGCATCGGTGAAATCTCCGACTCGATATTCAGATCCAGTCACTATAGCATATAGCTGCCAAACAATCCGAACTATTAAAATCAAGTTCATGTAAGTAATATTTTGTATTTGTGAAGGGTATTACAGTTTCGGTGTAACCGAAGTAAATGTTTTCCATTTTATTATGTCAAATGAATGCCATAAATCGACTAATTTTTAAAGACTACTAAAGAAAAAGCGGCGATAACGACTGAATTAGCTTTTCAGTTGATATTAAGACTTAATTAAATCTTGGTTTTGCTTGTTGCTTCTAAATATTATTATAATGGAAATATCAGAAGTCGATCTATCACACTCTAGGCTCTCCAAAACTGCTTGTGAGATTAATATGGCTTGATACTCTGATTATAGTAAAATTAGGCCTAAAATCATTGAATAACTACTTAAAAATTATGCTATATATGTAAATCTCCAACTTGTAACTCTTAAAATTTAATTTGCTTCATCCAATTACAAAAACTTAAAAACTGGTGAAACGAACAAGCTACTGGTATAAATAAATAGAGCTCAGCAAGCGGTTATACTAATATTAACTGTATAAATTTGTTGTTGCTTTCATTTGTAAATTTTTTGACAAGAGAAAAGGCTACAAACGAAACGAGCAGCGAAGTTGCGAATCAAATACGGCTATTTTACTGACATACAAGTATATACTAATACGTTTACATATGAAAATTTTGATATTTTCAAAAATGTTCAATATAAAAAACCAAATCACATTATATTTTTTGATATAAATGTTTTTATTAGTTTATTGTTCCAAGTGAAATTTTAGAGCTTTACACTGGACATGTAAGGAATACTCAATTATATAATTCTGGTCAGGTACTCCAATTTTATTTTTATGGTTGCCACTTGCTTTAATGTGACTGCAACCGGAAACCGATATGAAAAGTAATATATTCTACCGAAAATGTTTATTCATTCAATATCCGCCAAATTAAAAAAAATATCAAAAAATTTCACAAATTTTTTTTTGTTTTTGATGAATATGGTTGTAATAAGGATATAGATTTTAACAACATCAGTCTAATTTTTAAAATTTTTGTATACAATTTTCAGCATGTTAAAATAAGCAAATATGTAGAAATCTAGATGTGGATATGACGAATAATGTACAGGGTTTTCCAATAAGAGTGATATGATTTTTTTTCAAAAAAAAACACACTAACTTTTTACTGAAATTCAATTCTTTTATATTTAATGTGAAGTACAATCGTTACAATTTAGTTCTGAATATAACATCATACAAATGGCCGCCACGACTTCTTTTGCAGGAACGAATTCAATGAACCCAATTTTCGAGTACTTTTCCATTAAATGAATAGCACTTTCAATAATGACTTCTAAAGCTTGAAGAGAGTCGGGTTTATTGCTAAAGACCAATGATTACAAATAACCCCACAAGAAGTAGTATAATGGTGTTAAATCAAAACTCCCTGGAGGTCATTCAATTTCACAAATTCTTAAGATTATCATATCTCCAAACTTGTCTCGCAACAATTCGGTTGTTGCACGTGCTGTGTAGTACGTGGCCCCGTCTTGTTGGAACCAGATGTTGTCAATATCAACTTCTGCCAATTGTGGCCATAAAAAGTTGGTTATCATCGAACGATACCGCTTCATTTCGAAAGAAGTACGTACCGGTGATTCCACCAGACCAAAACCCACACCAAACTGTCAACTTAGGTGAATGTAATGGTTGTTCATGAATAAATTATGGATTTTCTTCGCACCAGAATTGACAGTTTTGTTTATTAACTCACCATAACCATAGCGGCCATAAAATGACAAAAGCGTAAGAAAAGTTGTAATCGGAGAACGATTATTTTGATAATAAAATTTAATAATTTGTAAACGTTGTTCTTGCGTATATCCTTTCATGATAAAATTGTAAACATTACAGAAAACAATGAAAAAAAGACATATCATCTCTATTGGAAAACCCGATATATTCGCCATATAATTGAGCTTAACGTTTTGTTGAAGTTTGGCCAAGCATTTACCACTCTTTGAGGTAAGCTCTTTGGTTTTAACCTACTACTCTTAAGCTGTCTAAAAACATGTTTAAGTGAAGATTCTTTAAGGCAGAAATACACTCAACTACTTGCCACAAATTATTTGATAATTTTAGTTTTCGTTTCATCGTTTAGTGGTTGCGTACTTCAAATATATTCAACATATGTATATATACAATAGGTATTTTGAACAAGTGCATACGAGTATAAATAAATATCAGCTTCTATTCAACATCGAGATAAACATCTACTCCAGTTGCGCACTCGCAAAAAGAAAAAATAAAAACAACAACATTGATGATAAAATGATGCTACAACGGCTAGATTGCGCTACCGATTTGCTAACTCTCAGACATTTACGTCTAAAGTTAACCGACACAAATTTCTGCATGTTTGTATGTATGTGCGTGCATATGTAAAAAGCCATATACAAAGTACGTGCTGCAGCTCCCGCTTTAGATGCCACAACTACGACAATTTACGGCGCCAACTACAATGCAAATATGTAGGAATTACTGCATAAAATTTTCGGTTCAGTGGTTCTTTAACACATAATTTTGTATGCATGTACATATGTACATTGGCATATGTATGAGATTTGCTTCTGCGCATGTGTAAACGCTGCCCTATGGCAAAAGAATTTTGTGCGCATGCGCAATTATGTATTCTGTAAGGGTATTGGAGCGTGTCATTTTGTGTTAATTTTGCATTTTGAGTTTCGCAAAACGGCAGCTGGAAGAACTGAACACGCAGTAGCATTAAAGACATACAGACAGACGAACAGACAGACAAGCGACGATAAATCTTGCTCAGTTTGGGGTTTTCAAAGATTTTGTTAGCCGAAGGCGGTCAAGCATCTGTGCCGATGACACATTTCTGTTCGACGAATGACGGAATTGGGGAATTTCGCACTTTAATTTAAGACTCAATTTCACTTTTTGTGCGAAGACAACAACGCAACAAGTGCTAAGTGATCAGTTTTAATAAAACAAAAATATGCTAACAATATATCGGACAACAAGATCTGCATACAGAAATATAGAGAGCTTTTATTTATTAGGTATACATATAAATAGAACAATAATACAGGTAAACACAGTTATAAATTAAAAACAACAACAATAGTGTGATACGAATGAGTAATAACTAACGGCATGTTGTCGCGTATATTCTAACTGGTTTTTAACTGGTTTAAACGCCTTCTAAAGGCCATCGATCAGTTTTGCTCAAACTAATTTTGTCGACATAGAACTAGACTTTTAAAATTTGCCATATAACGATAGTAATTTACTCTGCTTTGGGTACAAAAAAAAAACAGAATTTTATGAATTTTTCTTATCGTTTGGTAGAATATAACCGGTTAAGCGATTTTAAACGGCCCACCCTGCGAAGTTGCACACATCTCCAAAACACCGAGTGAAGTTGATTCTTATTTCACTTAGTCTTCTCTAAGCTGGTACCGTCTTGAGCACTTTTTAGCGCTGGAGAATTTTTATTCATTCGGCTGATATGTTGTAGCCCACATAGCCACTGCGTTTTAGTTTATTGGCCTTGTTATATGTTGTTTAGGGAAAATTCCTGCTGCATAGATTTCGAAATCTGCCCAAGAATAATTCTTTCGAAATTTTAAAAAAGTGCCTTATCGGAAGTTGTGTTTCTTATAGCGGCAGGAAATATTCCTCAATATATAATTTTACTAATTTGTGACGAATTGACAGTTCTTGGTCGGATATAACATCGGATCCGTTCTAGTCGTAGGGCCACTATTGGATGTCTTTGTTTAGGCTTCTATACTTTAGGTATGTTAGGCTTGATACTAACATAGATCTCTGTTAAGTCATAGCTTTGTTCATCGCTCCGAAGCAGCAATTGATGGCAAGAGAGTTTGATGGTAGCTTTCAGGGTTAATATTGTTTTCAGTGCTTATGCTGGTACTCAGAAAGGCAAAGTGTTTTCAACAGCAACTCTCATATAGTATGAGCCAAAAGGTAAGTGCACCGACTGGATATACATACAGGT